TGTCGCACAGTTGCTACTGAAACCGGCGATTTGCATCGCACGCCGTGCCTCGGTTGTGCGAGAACGATTATCTGCGATCCCTCCTGAGTTCCACAGCGTCTAGAACAAGCAGCACATGAGATCTGCATCGTCCAATATTTAGAGCGCGCGATCGTTCAGCATGGCGGCGAACGAGTCAACATATCAATTCGCTTTGACAGCAGAAGAATGTGCGATTATACAAGCTATACGGGCTGTTGAGCGAAGCATCACGCCCACCAAGCAGATGACGTTGTAGGTGTTTATCATTACGGTTCACACCAGAGCTAACCTGAACAGACATCAAAAGCTGGAACTCCACCTCACAGACCAAGACGGAGACTCATTGGGCAGCTGTGAGGTCAACCCCGAGAACATGGTGATGGAGTTTGTCAGCGCAGCAGCCGGGTTTCTGAATGAGTTAGTGGGGAAATCTGTTCAAAAAAAGAAAGCGCTGGTTGAGACCGACAATGGTGTTCACATTGACGACTGCGACTCTGTTCTGGGCTCAGAGACCCAGGACTCCCCTACCCAGGACTCGCCTGACAACTTGCCGCCTGAGCAGGATGCTGGAGGAAAGACCGCGTCATGGGAGGCGATAAGAGAGGCCAATATCCCACCTTGTGTTAAGGAAATCAGTTTCATTATTAATGACGAGGATCTGGTTCCAGAACTCCGCGAAAAACTGGAGTCTAGCTATTCCGGTGTTACTATCGTATCATCAGGCATAGTAGCCGAGAAAGAAAGGGCCTGGAAGGCTCTGACGGCAGAGAGACCCGACGGGATCAAGCAAATGATCATCGAGCTCGACGAGACAGAGATTGCCCAAACCCCGGAGCTAGAAAGCAACCTGCGGAAAATGTACCCATGGGCGATGATCGAAGCAAGGCCCGGTCCAAACATATCCCGAAAGCGTGCAAGAAGGATGACGGACAGCAATGTTGCGACACCACATAGGCCAGACCCAGTCAAACACATCGAAGACTTCGCCGCTTACGTTATAGAGCCACCCTCTGAGGACGAGTTTGGCTACAAGTATCCCATAGGCGAAGGCTGGGATCGTCTTCCGTACTCGCGGAAATTTGAGATTGCCCATGCGCGGGCGATCCAACACTATCACGGCAAGGTAGTTGATGGCAAAGGATGCGGCTACTGTGAAGCCCATGGTTATCACTGTAAAGTCTATCTGCCACAACTCGGCAACTTGTCTCATATAACGTTTGGTCATTCTTGCCAACACTGCCGGCTCAGGCAAATACAATGTGACCTTCCCGCTGCCATGAAAGATCACCCGAACACGCCTAGAGCACCGAACATGCTCAGGCTTGATACACAGAACACACATCACCACGGAGAAGCAGTCAATACCCCACCTACGACGACCACATCCAGATCCCTGGCATCAAGAATAACGGCGCCCGATAGAATACGACCTGACGCCGGAGAAGAGGAGGATGACAACGATGATACTCCAATAAGAGTATCCCCTACAATGGATATTCTGGAACTGCCAGACATGCTCCAACTCCTCACGAGTTCAAATTACAAGGTGAGAAATATTATCTATTCGATGTACAAATTCTTGAGGGAAACAGACAAAGTTGAGCCATTCGGAAAGTACCCCTCAACTCTCGCTCAGTATTACGAGAACCTGATCACTCTTTACATACTCACGTATCTGCGTGAAGAGTACGACTTGGCCTTTGTCGTTTTGCTTCGTTTCCAGAGCACAAACTGCCAGGAGACGACACAACTACCCACCATAGACACCGTCGTACGCGCTTTTGAGCACCTTCCAACCCATGCTCCGCTTTGCCGTTGGATAGCAATATCTTACAGTTTTCTCTGGGATACCCAAGCACAGGGTGAATGGGGCGTGTTTATCAACACAAACCCAGATGTTAAGCCAAAATTCCGCTCACTCGCCAAGCTTCTCCATGGAATCTGCTACATACGTGATCCATTCACTACTGGAGGCGATATCGCAGTGCGGAAGCGATGGTGTGAGGTTCACAACCATCTGGCGGAGGCACCTCACCAGAAAAGGGCTTGCGAAAGGGTGACGGCAGAGTTTGGGGACTCCGCCGAAGAGGCAGAGAAAAGGTGGAAACAGCACGAGATACAGCAGGCAAAGGAGAAGCTGGCACTTTTGGAGAACGACAACAGATGGGGTGATACCATAGGCTCTAGTACACCACGTGTTGGCGAAAAGAGAAGAGCTGAAAGTTCCCCAATGTCGAGACCCTTTAGAGTCGGCAGGGGAGGGCGAGGTAGAGGGCGAGGGCGGGGCCCAAGCAGATGAGGCAATTTACTCGTCGTATTTGAAGCGCCTTGAGACTCTGGTAGATTTTGCATGGCAATTCAATTGAAAAGCGTGCTCAATGTATTTATGCTTTTGTTTTCTGTCTAGGTTTCTTGTTATCTGATCTATATTCTTAGCATACTTTAGTGTCTCGGTCTGTGGTAGAAGGATTGATTCGAAAATGTATGAATGTGAGTTATATTTCACACTCACAAATGAGTGGTATTAGCTACTAAGCCTCTCTAGTTCCCATATTAAGGGCGAAGGAATGTGTATAACGGTAAACAAGAAAAGAAGAACACCAGAATCGCTATGCAAATGTACCAAAGATCAAAGGAACGTCCTCGCAAATCATTACTATCCGTCTGCCACCCTCACTTCACTCCCCTGTTGACCCGTTTAGATGGCCGTTTACAACTGGCACTCAATAGTGAAGTAGGTTACGTCGGTGGGAGTAGCAACGTTGACGTTTCCATCAAGGTCGATGAAAGTGTTCCAGGCATTGAGCGCAATGGCCTGTCCGGGGTAGTTGGGGTCCTTGACCACGCACTGTACGTTGTTGCCACCAGCACCGGGGCTGACAGCCTGGAGCGAAGTGGCCAAGACCTGGGGGCCGAAGGCACCACCGAAGAGCTGGCCGAAAGTTACGGCGGCGTTGTTGACGATGACATCGGCGTTGGCGTTTTTGCCGCTCTTGTCATTGGCGAGCTGGACGGTGAAGACGAGGGGCGCATCACGGGTGATGGCTGGAGCCGCAAGTGCGGAGGTGAAGAGAGCAGCGGCAGAAGCAATGATCATGGAGGCCTTCATATTGAAAATTGGTGTATGGTTGGAAGGTTGTCTGAGTGAGTGTTGGAAGGAGATGATTAAGTGAAGATAGAAAGTAGGAGATAATAGAAAGTTGTTGTTGGTTTGTTGTTGTGTAATGAGATGATCTTCCATACAGTGAAGATAGATCTTGTTCTTATACATCTGAACATCCTCCAGCCTTGCCATTGTAGCTTGCGATGTTTGTCATGGATGGCCTTCAGCAATGCCTCCACGTAGCACCGTACCAGTGCGCTTTGGGAGACCTGACGTCCGTGAGACGGTACTGCGCTCAGCCCACGTTGTTTTTCTCAAGTAATTTGGGAAGCAGATTCCGCTATTCTCTCGTGAGGTCTCAGCTTGGTGGAGGCGGTTCGTCCGCCGAGAAGCAAAGAGCTCGGGGTGCGGTCAGGCAAGCGTCCACGCGAACAGCCGATGCTATGACAAAGCATAAGCATTTCGATGTCACATCCTACGATAAGCTTGGTTTCTCCAGCTTCTCGCTTAGCATAGCGACAGTATGATGGAGCTAACCTTGGAAGGTTGCATCAGCCACCACCTCAGCTGTCAGCTTGCGATTGATTCGCTAGAGAGCCGAAATCGCGTCGCTATTTTCGTCTGGATGCTGATGCTCTTGTGATGGGTGAATTACGCCCAACCTACACGGTAGTTGTAGGGGCCGGTTTGGAGTGAGGTAAGACTCTAGTAAGTTGCGGGGAAAATACCTAGGTAACGTGGAGGCTGAGTGCTCAGCCGCAACTCTTCCGATGTTACTTGACATGTCCATCGCATTCGGTATGACTAATTTGGAGTCTTGACTCTTTTTTCTATAATGCGGATGTGCTGCGTACTATTCGTATGATAACGCAGCTTGTGAATGACGTTGCTTCTGAGGTTGAACTACCTAAGATCGCATATGCTGCTCATAGGGTCAGCACGCGCTGCGCAACGTAACTGGCACACAAATGTTTCTAGTAATACTGGTAAGGTGATGTGAGAGAAGTTTCGAGAGTTCTATGCTTGTTGGATCATCTAGCTGTCGCGTGGAGTTTCTTGTTGAAGCTGACGAGTATACCTCTACGCCTTGGAAGCCTTACTTTTTGCGCTCACGTGAATCTCATGGCATCGTGTTTGGTAAGAAACGGATCATACCGAAGAACTTTGCGTTTGCTGAGTATGTGAGATCTCAGCCTTGTCTAGCATGCCTGGCTTCGTTTGACCTTGCCTTAACAACCCTCTTCCTACCGTCTCATATCCTCGGAATTGTACAATGTTTCCGTGTCGACACTATCGACTCTGCAGAATGATTCACGAAGATTAGGGCCGACGCTACCTAGGTATTGCCAGCTTCGTTCACCCGTCAGCGCAGACCCACTGCTTAGCCTTCACTACGAACCTCCCGAACCCCACTGCACCCGCATATTCGAGCTCCAGCCGGGTCAATGATCAGAATCTTTCCAGGGAAAACTCATCATGACAGGTGTTGACAGCGACTTCAAGTATATCGCGCTGTTGGTATATATGGGGTGATATCACACAGGACGATCGCATTGTTGTTGATCGCACTGCTATACCGGTAGCTTTGAATCTAATCAGACATTGGAATACATACGCGACTTTAGGCGAGCGGAGCCACCTTTATATTCAGCCAAGATAAAAGGTCGGCGAATGGACCATCGAGGCTATCGAGCTGGAGTAATTGGCGTGCGCTGCGATATGACAGTAGGATGTGCAGCACACAGTAAAGGACTCATACAAGGAGAAGATATCTCAAGGACTGCCAAGATGTTCCATTCAAAGTATATACACAGTGGGTATTATATCACGTCCCCGTCTGATCGAGCCGTCCCAGCTACTATCGCTATCAGGAGGACTAGGCTGGAGGACCGATGGGAGTAGGCACAGGTGCTACTAGAGATCAGCATAACGTTTTCTTCTACGCGAGACAATAAGCCACTTACCGGAGCCTGGTCTAGTAGGCCTTGGTCGTGGACCGCCGCTGGGAAGACCGGGGAAACCTCCAGTTGGGAGCGGAGGAGCGCCGCTTGCAAAACCGGGGAAGCCGCCGGTGGGGAATGGAGGTGCTCCACTAGGGAAGCCTGGAAAACCACCAGTGGGGAATGGTGGTGGGCCAGATGGAAAGCCTCCAGTAGGCAACGGCGGGAAGCCTCCAGAGGGCGTTGGGAAAGGACCGGTAGGGAAGGGTGGGATGCCAACTGGGGGTGTACCAGAGACCTGACGCTCGACGATTGGAGCGGCGAAGGCACTAAAGCGTGTTAGCTATGTTGTTGAGGAATAGGCTTGGTTGGCATACCCAGCGGCCATGATGAGAATAGCAGTGAACTTCATGATGAGTGGTAGATCGAGTACGAATGTTTGAGTTGGTCAGTGAGTGGAGTGAATGCTGTTTGCTGATGTCGACTTAGACTTCTGACATGAGGTTGTCTTATACTTCTGATCATCCATGGCTCAATGTCCTCAAAGCGTACGCGTACCCGACTAGTAGACGTCAGTGTAGATTACCGCTGTAGCGCACCCCTCTGAACACAAGCCTACGTAGATGAACCCCAATATCGCATGTAACATGTTAGCAACGCAATGATTGCCCGGCTATCAAAGCCCAGATGTCGGAGAATTCTTTCACTCGCGGAGCTTTGGGGCCGGCATGTTGTTGAGCAGAGATGACGTTGCGTGGGTATTACACAAGGAGGGTTTTGCTAGGTTGTAGCGGAGAGTGGGTAATCTATCACAGGCTGTTGCCAGGTCTGTTGTCTAATTAAGCTTTCCTTTGGAGGTGCAGACGATCTGTACAACCGCTGCAAAGGTATGGCTTGAAACGGTTCATCTATACTATCCAATAGAAATAGTCTAATCGACTGTGTGGCCTAAAGCCTCCGACTTCGCATTGAATCGGAGTTTCAGAAAAGTCGGCAGATATGGCAGTATGTGGGTGACTATACCCAAGGTCCGACTGATGCTGCTTGAAGTCGGACAGGGACTAAGTCCAGATTGTCCGCTTTGGGTACCAAGATCGTGGACGTGTCTCTCTTAGAGAGAAGCTACTGGGCTGTTTAGCCGGCTCCTTCTCTGCTCTGAATCAGAAACAACGAGGGATCTGCCGTTCTGAGGGCTCAGAGGCTGGCATTGGTTGCGGCTCGGGTCTCCTCCGCCATGGCCAGTGGTGAGCTCATGAAGTACTCAGCAGTACTTTTTGTGGGTCTTGAGGCGTAAGCAGCTCTGAGCGCGTCGGCAAGTCGGCGTTTTCAAGAATACGTGTTATGCAGGTCCAACAAACTTGCCTCTTGGGCAAGACACAAGGAGCTTTACAAGGTCTGCCGGTATCAATCAAGGTTGAATTCCAGGCAAATTGGTATTTGAGGGGCGGCTTTTAACCCGGCATTCTTGCGCCTCATCGGAATTTGACTGCGGTAATGCCTTGAACACCCAGCCCTCATGGCGCAGTCACTTCGATTGGCAGATCGAAGATGAAGTAAATGGTTTTTTGTCGAGAGTAGATGAAATAAGGTTGCAATGAGCCAGACATATGACGCTGGCAAGGTACTGCGATAGACAGTGGGTGTGGTTGGTTGGAATGTAAAAAGCCGCCAACTTTACCGGGCCGCACCTGCATAATTCTCCTGTCGTACTGCTGATCACTGAAAAGCAACAGAGCTTTGATTGCTCATGCGTGACGCGAATCGAGCGCAAGTTGCAACGAGTTGATGACGCCAGTCGCCAAGCAATTTGCGAAGGGGTTGCGACTGTTGATCAGGAAATTGCGCAAGGCAGAGGACAGTGTGACTATTGGCATGAGATGACAACTGTAAGGACTCTTTTTGCACCTAAGGTCAGCACTGAATTTCTTGAGTAAAACATGTCACCGCACCTTCTGGTCCAGATATGTGACGGGTATCTCCATCAGCTCTTGACGAAGCTTTGCTGGATTGAAATTACTATTCTTCCCCCCAGGCAACCACTTCATGATTATGCGCCTATGTCTCTCAATCGTCGTCTTCGATGACCAAGCCAATCTCTTCGGCATTCTTGACCTCTCCACCTTGGTTGTTTGTATCCGTGTCCTCTTCTGTACCAGTCTTTGGTGCGTTCGCATTCGGCGCCAACTTCTTCTTCGTCTTACTGTCCTCTGCGGTCGGCGTGCCATCCCTGTCGCCGCCCTTTCCACCCTTCTTAGCCTTCTCTTTCCTCTGTCGCGCCTTCTCCCTCTTCAGTCGGTTCTTCTCGGTCTTCTCTTTGTCCTTCTTCTCTAGTTCTTCTTTCCGCTTTGCAAACTCCTTTTCATCCTCCTCCTTTTTCACTTCGTCATCCATCATCCTCAGCCTCTCGTATTCGCGTCTCCGACTCGCCTTGTAGACGTGGAACTCGCCACTTCCAGCACCTGCGCTAGATCCTTGTACATTGGCAACAATTTCTGGGGGCAGAGAGGATTTGGCTAGTGCGCTGGAGCCTGGGATGTGGATGTCGCGGTCGGGTTTTGCGAAGAGGGCCTCGACCTGTGAGGCTTGTGCTGAGCGTGGAGTGAGGGCGCGCTTCTTTGTCGGGCGATGAGAGCGCGAGTCGGCGGATGTGGGTATCGACTCGGGGATGGGTTCAGACATGATGGGTGTTGAGTACCCAGTTGACTGAAGGCGGAGGTTTGTTTGGCGAGTCAGATGCGATTAGGCAGTGTGATGCGACGTGAAATAGATAGTTTGGCGCAATGTAGAAAAGTTGTGAGGACTAGGAAGCAGTCGCGAGGGATGACGCGCTAGCATTTGCGGCGAATGCCCGCTACGGCCGGCGAGACGAGCCATTTGCGCCAGCGAAGTCGCCATCCGCCGCTATCGTCGGGCTTGCAGCAACACATGAAACGCCCTTGATCGCACTTTCCCTGCACCTCTGTACATAACTCCTTGGTGCCTTGCAAACCTCTCTGTATCTTGTCATAGCAGCAACTGCCCACACACAAGCCTCCAAAAGTCTCTCCGCCCACACATCCCACCTACTCCAACATGGGGAAACCCCGCGTAGGTCCACTTTATTAATACCACCAAGGTCAATGGCTGATTGCTACGCAGATGATCATATTGATCCGCCATGCCCAATCCGAGGGAAACAAGAATCGCGACATCCACCAGTTCATCCCCGACCACCGAGTGAAACTGACCCAGCATGGTTGGACACAGGTACGCTCACTGTGCCCCGAAGCTTGAGACGAGACACGACTGACTCAGGCCACCATAGGCAGAAGAAGCGGGGCGACAACTGCGCTCTCTCCTCAAGCCAGACGATACACTCCAGTTCTACACTTCACCTTACCGCCGAACGCGCGAAACGACAGAAGGCATCCTCCGCACGCTGACCTCGGACGACCCCACGCCATCGCCTTTTCCTCGCAACAAGATAACCGTATACGAAGAGCCACGGATACGAGAACAGGACTTCGGCAACTTCCAGCCATGTTCCGCCGAGATGGAGCGCATGTGGCAGGAGAGGGCCGACTATGGTCACTTCTTCTACCGCATACCTGATGGCGAGAGCGCGGCAGACGCGTACGATCGTGTCAGTGGCTTCAACGAGAGCCTATGGAGATCCTTCCAAGACGACAACTTTCCCAGTGTCTGCGTCCTGGTTACTCACGGGCTAATGTCGCGTGTCTTTCTCATGAAATGGTGAGCTGCATTGGAGCTCGAGGTCCTCGTTCAGAGTGCTAACACAATCAGGTACCATTGGTCGGTTGAGTATTTCGAAGACCTCCGTAACGTTAACCACTGCGAGTTCATCATCATGAAGCGAAGCGAGAATAACGGCCGATACATCCTCCAGAACGAGCTACGGACATGGTCAGAACTCAAGCGCCGCGCTGCCAAGGAGAAAGAAGAGACCAAGAGCGCTACCTCATCTACACCGAGCAGAGCTACACCCTTGACTGGATTAGGTCAAACAGGAGCCACATCGTCCCCTACCATACCTACGCGCCGATGGGGAGGATGCGTCAACGGCTGTGACCATGACAAGATCAACTACCCCCGCCGACCAATGCGCAAGAACACCATGGAGTACATGGGACATCAATCCCAGCAGCTGCCTCCCCCCGCAGTCACACATATGGAGCCAGTAGAAAGCGAACAGGAAGATCACCCCGTCGCAGCGCCGCAGACTGAACATGCTCCCATCATCAATGAACCCTCACCGGCGAAGCTATCGCGAAAACAGAGCACTAAGAATATCCCGGAAATGCCACCAACACCAGCATCTCCAAACGATGCGTCCAACGATGCTACGAGCAGTGAGGGCGAGGAAGCAGCTTCTTCCATGTCGCGATCGGGTAACCATGCGCAACCGCGAACCGCTGCCGTCCTACGCCACTTGCAGCCCCATAAGACACCAGGCGAGGGCTTCTCTGACGATTCAGACTATTTCCCAGGTATGCAACAGGTTCACCACCGCAAGTTCCTCCGGGCAAGTTCAACACAGCGCAAGCAGTCCAAGGAACGCAAATTGCAACGCAAGCAGACAGAGCAGAGCTGGAAGGAGGAATCAGGCATGGGCAACGGTGCCAGAACTGACAGACTAGGTGACGGCGATGCCACTAGTGACGACGCTGCGTTCGCCAAGGAGAAGGAAGGAGAACCGATCCTCGTGGAAGCGCTCAAGGGTAACATGATTGTCGAGAAGAGCGAGGAGGAGCGAGAAGCAAATCACGAGTTTGGTAATACCGAGACCAAGATTGGAGAGACGGAGATTGACAAGATGCAAGATGCGGAAAGAAAGGGCTTTGGTGAGGTGTATTGAAGCTTCCTGGAAGAACGACATGTCGAATATGAACCTGAAAATAATGCTGCTGTAGCATCGCAGACCCTTGGACGTTTCGGAAAGGGCTTTGCTCATCGAGCTGGCCTCGTAGACCTCCATTTCTGTCCGAACTATTGTACTTGAGAAGGAACAAGCGATGAAACAATGTATCAAAGATATCGGTCTTGAATTTCTTGAGCATGTGGTTAGACCTTGAGTATATGTGGTTCGACTACTAGCCTAATATGTGAACATAAGGCTGATGCTCCCATTTTCAGTTCAGCTTGTTTTCAGCCTCGCACCTAATCGATCAAGGACTAATCCATCTTAGGGATGTAAGCTGTGGCTGTGCACAACACTACGTGCGAAAGAGTCATACCAGTAGACATGACTAGGTCAAATCTTTGTTATAAATGCCGTCAAGATGTTTTTGAATATACTGCTTAGTCTTTTTGTAGCAGGACTTTTGTGACCGCAACCGTTTACAAAAACTTTGGGTGATCGAACCCCCGAAACGAAAAACGTTACAATATCGCAAACCAGCAAGATGGATATATCAATTCGCGTAGAACCTGATGCATCCAGTAGGCTCAAAAGCAACCATAAAATTGGTTTCTTGGATCTGCCGGGCGGTACGTTCATCATCGTGAATCTCTATGCAGTATCCCAACTCTCTAATACTGACCCCTAGAACTCCGCGATATCATCTACCTGTTCGTAGCAGCTTGTTCAAAAGACGGTCCATGCTCGAATCCGAATACGAGAGTCAAACTAAAGCACATCAAAGACTACCACAATAACGTAGAGTGGCACCGTCTCCAACGTCAGGACCTAGGCCTTGCACAAACTTGTCGCCAAGTACGCTCAGAGTACCTCCCTATATATGCAGCACACACGAATCTGTACTTATGCATGCGCAACTTTGCTCTTGCTGTCGAAGACCTCAATATAACCAAACGCGGCATTGTCATGCCAGTCGGCGACGTAGTGATCGGAGTGCAAAACTGGGATGGTGAGGATGCATGGCGAACGAATCGATCATGCGTTGACATAGCGCCGCTTCTTACTCTCCAACTTCGTCAACCCGAGCTTCTATTCAGGTTTGATGACGCTGAGTGTATGCGCGAGAGGCTGAGGCGCAACGAGCAATTGGATACCAGCACCTACTTCGCAACCCTCTTCTCTCTACACACGAACCCGCTTTGGCGCTCCTTCTTTACCATGGCTGTGAGGGAGGTGTTCGTGTATCCTGATCTGGATTGGATTTGCGCGAGACATGTCAAGGTGCATATCGAGATCGAGAAAGAGTTCGGTGAGATTTGGATGCGAAGTCATACGGCCAGACGGAATAGGAGGCGGGGGAAGATGGATGGGTGGCTGGCAGCGGTTGGGTTGGAGGGCTTGATGGGGTGGAATGGGTTGAGGGTTTATTGGGCGAGAGGGTGGTTCGAGGAGTTGTTTGGGAATTAAAGGCTGGCATTAACCCAGGATGCAAAGATATTCGCAGCGTGTCTTCGCGGGCGTCAACGGTGTATCGCAAATCGTTGGGCAATTTGGCATGCTTGCTCATATTTGAGAAGTATTTCTTTGCTTCCACAACAGGCCTTCTGGTCGGCGAGGTCGCTTCGACTTGCAGATCAACCACGGAGAATAATGTAGATAAGCGGGTCCTATATGCGGTCGATCCGCGGCGGTGTGAAGAATTTCGAGAACTCGTGTTTGAGATTGTTTACTGGAAGACAAGCGACGCGTCTTGTAGAGAGGCCACCCGCGGCTGTGGTAGACGTCATTGATGGAAGTTGCGCCAGTGGCTGTTACCCGACAGCGCCTTCCACTTGTCGCACAAAGTCCTTCTAGAAACCTTCTGGACACCGACCGGTACCTTTCGGATCATCTTAGTAATTCATACCGTATTGCAGTGACTCCGTGGTATTCCCGATGTTACGTGTTGCGAAGAAGAAGTCGCCGACCATCCTCGAGGACACCGAACACATCTGGACAGGGACAACTTCCATCCGTCATTACGACGCAGCAATCATAAGACATGTCAAGTCGTGACACGTCTCATCGACTCGGCCAAACGTCGTCCTCAAAGCCATCAGCCTTGCCATGCGGTCGTGCAAGCCATAACCCGCGTAATGTTCCCTTGTCTTATCCTTTGGGTCCATTCTCGTCGCCGAAGACCCGCGCACCTGCCACGCGCGAGCCACGTTTAAGGGCCACGCTAGGCAACTTAGGGGAATGTGCATATCTGCTGCCGGCGCGCCACCAGTCCGTCCTCCACGATATTACCATCGTCAGAATAGCCACATCTCGGCTAATTCCACATTTGCATCTCGAGGTCGCCGACTAGGAGGATGTTTACACGGCGATTGGCACGTGTGCCGCTTTGGGCCGTTAGCGAGGAAGATCTAGGACTGATTAGTATCTAGGGGTTCATAATGAGGTGTCTACAAACGGCTTGCTGGCCTGTATTGGCTGTGGCTTTCTTTGATTTGGCTACTTTCGTTCTGCTGCACCATCCGTTAGGGAGACCCCTTGATGGAAGTCAAGCCTTGAAAGTAAAGACTATCGACGATACGACAATACCTTACCAAGAGAATGTTCACGCCTATCGAGACCACCATCGGCGCATTGCTGCTGCATCAAGCAACTAGCAACCTCCTTTATCAGAATGGAGATGTTCTGGGTGCCAGCGGCTATCTACGCAAATTCTTCTCAGCGCCCACGAAAGAACTGCTCGCCTTCTTTACTGGCATGGCCGCCAGCTACGTGCCATTGAAGGCATTAGCACCACAGTTGATCACTGAGTACCCTGCTTTACAGATCAGTTCTCAAGTTGTCGTTGCAACAGTAGCAACTGGTGCCCTCATAGGATGGGGAACTAAGGTGAGAGATTCTCAATAGAGGAATCTTACAGGACTGACTCGAACGGCCAGATGTCGAATGGATGCACTTCCGGACACATGTTGTGTGGTCTTTCCAGACTGAGTGGCCGCTCAGCCGTCGCCGTCGCTACGTTCTTTCCCACGGCAGTTATAACCCATCATTTCGCTCACCCAAGTTTATCGACGTCGGTATGCCCTAGCAGTACACCATGCTATGCACCCGTATATCCGTCTACAGAGACGACTGTGTCACTTCTTGTGTTGGCAGCGCTGAGCATAATCGCTACTCGAACGATACCCGGAATTGTGGCTCAAGTCACAGTTTCGCCCACCACCACCACCACCACCAAGGACACCAAAGAAGAGTCTGCTGCGCGTGTTACCACGCAAGCCTTGTCAGGTTTACTCTTTGCTCTTGGTCTCCATATTTCGCAAATGGCACACCCAGACAAAGTTGCAGCCTTCCTCTCTTTCCCAAACTTGCAACACTGGGATCCATCCCTTGCTCTGGTCATAGTCTTCGGCGTGTTACCCAATCTGATCGAGAATCAGGTGAAAGGTCTTCACGGCTCACCATCGTTCGCTGACAAGTTCTCGCTGCCTACGAAGACTTTGCAAGATGTGGATAAAAGATTCGTGATGGGAGCTGTGGCTTTTGGTATTGGTTGGGGCTTGACAGGAACGTGTCCCGGCCCGGCGGTGCTTCGAGCTTTCTCTCAGCCAGTTTGGGGTGCCCTGTGGATTGGCGGATTCTGGCTTGGAGGGAAACTGAACATATGAAATGGTTGGTGCTTGTACGTGCAGTACGTGGCTGTCTGTGTTACGTGATACCCAACATAGATCTCTGTTTCATTCATGGCTGTGGACCTAAAATGGTAATGCTGAAGCATATAATGTTAATGTAATGATTGTAAAGACATACTTATAAGTTGGAGGGAAGCTATGCGCTTTCGCTAGAATGCCACTTGGTGGTGCGTGGCCCCCTTGATTGTGAGCACGCGTCTCGAGTCGAGAGGAGACGTTGTCATGTTGTTGGTAGGCATGCTGTTCTTCTCGATATTTGAAGGCCCAGCGGCGTATATATCGTCTTGTTCTAATGAGTGAGTACTAGCTAGCGGGCTAGAGTTGAAGAAGTGACACTTGTGGACCCTGGAAGTTCAGCCCTGCCAAAAATGTTCGCCCCGCCACATCATCCCACCCGATCCCCGCGACGCGCTCAACCACGAACCACACACAATGGAGGACGATAGAGCTGCAACCAACCTGGGTCCCGATGCGGACCAGGGTATGCCAGAAGAGGTCGCGCCCGTGCAGAAACAGCCGAAAAGGCGCTTCGTAGGGAGAAAGGCGGGAGAGAAAGCGGGCGAGCAGCAAGCAGACCCCAATGCCAATATTGAAGATTCGAGCGCGATACAAGGTGTGAGGAGCCCACAGAAGAGCTTTCTAATGCACCGAGGACCTAACATGTACCCAAGTTGCCCAGCCTCGGCGTACAGCTCGTGTCCTGAATGCGATCCCCGACGAGATTCTGCACGACCAAGAAATCAACGACGCCATCGCGCTCCTACCGCCCAACTACAACTTCGAGATCCACAAATGTATACACCGCATACGGACATCAGGAGCCAAGTCGATAGCTTTGCAGTTTCCCGAGGGACTGCTGCTATTCGCAACCACCATATCCGACATTCTGACGCGATTCTGCCCTGGTACTTCGACGTTGATAATGGGTGATGTCACCTACGGGGCGTGTTGCATAGACGACTACACAGCGCGAGCGCTCGGCTGCGACCTTTTGATACATTACGCGCACAGTTGTCTGATACCGGTAGCAGTGACCAAGATCGCGACGTTGTACATCTTCGTCTCCATCAGTATCGACACACAGCACTTGATCAATACCATCACAGAAAACTTCGCTGCCGGAAAGACTATCGCTTTGGTTGGTACTATTCAGTTCAACGCTACAATACACGGCATCGTGCCGATACTGCGCAAGGAAGGCTATAATCCATTTGTGCCGCAGATTGCACCTTTGTCCAAGGGTGAAATTCTCGGCTGCACGTCACCGTCAATGGCCATCAAGCCAGGTCAGCTCAATGCGAGAGGCAAAGAGGAGGAGGTGCCCGACATGATACTATATCTTGGCGATGGACGTTTTCATCTTGAGAGCGCCATGATCGCCAATCCACATATACCTGCATACCGCTACGATCCATACTCGAGGCGACTTACACACGAGACTTATGAACATGATTCTCTCTACGACTTGAGGCGCACTGCCATCCTCACAGCCCGGAAAGCACGCACTTGGGGTGTTATTCTTGGCTCGCTAGGCCGACAGGGAAACCCACACACCCTGACGCTCATTGAGAACGAGTTGGCGCGACAAGGTATCAAGTGTGTCAACTTGCTCATGTCGGAGATCTTCCCTGGAAAGTTGGCAATGATGTCAGATGTAGAGGCTTGGGTACAAATCGCATGTCCCAGGTTGAGCATCGATTGGGGCTACGCCTTCCCAAGGCCGCTGTTGAGCCCTTACGAGGCACTCGTTACGCTCGGCGTGAGAGACGCGCCATGGCTAGAGGAAGACGACACAGTGAGGAGAGCTGAAGCGAAGGAGAGAAAGAATCTCTATCCCATGGACTTTTACGCCAAAGAGGGCCTAGGGCGGACTACTATAGACCATGTGAAGGCCGCGGAGGTACCAGTTGGAGCGTGAATATTGATGGATCCTACATGACGACGGCTTTCGCTTCCGCTCAAATGGATATCATTTATGTTTTTGCATGGCGCCTACAGATTTTGCGATTCTTTGGGACTTTTTACATCTTTCCCTCCGGCTTTCCAGGTTGTCTTCGTGGCAAATCGGTGCAGGGAGACAGTGGCCCCAATCAAAAGTCTCGAGGCCCTGAGCCAATGCTCTCACTGGACTAGAATGCTTTTCGCTTGTTCCGGGCTTTCATCGCAACACCATCAAAGAAACATCTTTCTGTAGTGATACCCACAAACACGGACGTATACAAATTCACTTCTAAGCACTCGCCTTGTTTCGGCAGCTCACTGCATTACAGTCAACATTTGCTCTGATATTCGTCCACTCCCCACTCCCCACTGACCCAACTCTAATTTGTCTTGTGATTTTGGAAGGAGACATCTTAACATCTTCTGGTCCGCAATACTGTCATTTTCAACAGCTCTTTCTCCCATCTCCGAGACCGAGATTGCCGAGCCCGACATGAGTCTAATGGCACCTGCCGCTACTCCTGAGAAGCGGAAGCGATCAGTGACTTCCGCAATCGCTCCCCAGCGCTCTTCGAAGATGGCGCGACTAGATTCCCTTACATCTACCGCTGATGAGTCTCCGGATTCTGCCATTCACTACGGCGTCTACATGCACGATCTTCTCAAAAAGTCAGGCAGCGCAGTGTCACGACTCATTACTGTGTCTGAGGACTTCACCAGTGCCTATGAAGCCATGCGTAAGCATGCTGCTGGGGAAATTGAGGCAAACGTACACTGGGGCGCGACAACAGAGCTAAACACTAATAACCTTTACGAGATACTGGACAGTAGAAACCGTGTTCTTCTGCGCTACGAGTTGGACGCAGTCTGCTCTGTCCGTCAAGACGTCAACGGTGATCGTATCTGGCAGCGTGCCAGCGCATCGCCTGCTCTGCCTGTACATTATGGTATGTACATCGACCTGCACTGCGATGCCAGGGATAAAGAAGAGCATCTCTTCATTGGTGGCTTCAAGAGCCTTGGTGAAGCCAATCATGCGATGAAGCAATCAGCGGCCATGTACCTCCACGGCCATGGCGAAACCAAGTTGTACGAGAAGAGCATCGAGGTAATGAATGAGAAGGGACAACTCCAGCGACGCTTCACAATCGAGAAGGGTAAGCTGAGTAAGAATGGAAGCTTCCTTAGGGTACAAGGTTGGCCCTTAGAGCAAGGTAGTACCGATTCGAAGGTTCCAGTCCTCCGTCTACCTATACCCGAGACATCGAAGTTGTCCGAACCGCCAACTGCTCAAACGGCTGTTCCGCAAATCGTAACCGAAGTTGTAGTGCAAGGTAGGCCACAGACTGTACAGAATGTTCCTGCTCCTGTCATTTCCGAACCACAAGCTGTCCAGAGCATACGCCGTCAATCTCAGCGATACCAAACCCCCATCCCGCCTGCCGATGAAACAAGACAGAAGCAGCCCAAGACCAGACCTCAAGCAAAGCTTAAGGCTCCAGCCAAGTCCGAGACCGCAGCAAAACGTAAATCGCAACCAAAAACCCAAGTTCAGACTGCGCACGACCCCAATCCCTATTGTTCGTGTCGCCTTCCTGACGACGGCAGTCTCATGATTTGCTGCGACAACGAACAATGCCCAATCGGCTGGTATCATGATCGTTGCATTAACATCCGCAAGGCGATCCCAGAAGAAGAAGAGTGGTATTGCGAAATGTGTGCGCGGGAGCGGGAGAATGAGAAAGCTCGGGGTATGAATACGCTGGCTGGGACACCCGTAAAGACATCTGGAAAGAAAGCAGGATGTGGTGATGCAAAGGCGAAGGGAAAGGCGAAGAAGGGGAAATCAAGTTAAACCGAGAGACTGGGAGACCGTGTCGTACGTTGGTCACCTTGGTTGTTCTGAGTTCGTTAGAATTATATGCTTGGTAGCGTCTCACGGAGTGGTCTTACTGTCTGTCTAGAATAAGTTACCAAGACCTTGCATCTCACTGAATAGTCGCTGTTTCTATCCATGACATGCTATACTCACTTCCTTCATCTACCGTCGCTACTTTCGGCCTCTCGTACTGCGCCGGGGTCTTGATAACGCGATGAAGAAGGATATGACCAAGGTAAGAGCTAACAATGAAGAAAATGATGATGCCGATTGTACCGTTATCCATCTTGCCCTGACAGACCGACCAAGATATCGACTCAGGTGGTTTGGAATAGTAAACTATCGCACTTCGCATCCGCATGTATGGCTTGGCCTAGAGATAGAAGTGGTATCGCAGTATGGAGACGATGTGAACGATAGGAAAGAGCATTGAGTTCGAGGATGAGGGGTGGATGAGCACTACAAGGGATGTTGCTGTCAGCAAACGCCCTTCGCGGGGGGACGTAAGACATATCGAGTGGGCGCCCACGTATCGCATATCAAGGCACACAGCACCTGAAACAGACCTTCTGCATATCGCGACTAGCTGTTTTGTTTAGAGAATCCAAGATTTGTAGGTAAGTCGACTGAACACATTCACCACTCGCGTATGACCGACATAGGATGAATCGCGTGATGGGTATCATATTTGCTATGCCAGACTCCGAAATAATGCTGAGTAGATGCAACTAATTCGAGTCAACGCTATCCAAATCTTGCGTTCAGTCAATCTCAGGCATCAACTCGTCGTCTTCGATGAGATCGGGATCAACCTTGCTTCCCAAATCAGTGTCTTCTAAGAACGAACGGCCTCGCAGTGCTTCGGGCAAGTACTCCTGCTTCACCTTGCCGTCTAGATAGTCCGGGTTGTATTTGTATCCATCACCGTAGCCCATATCCTTCATCAACTTTGTCGGCGCATTGCGTATGTGATGCGGTATGGCCAAGGCGGCGACTCCTGGCTCCTTCAACGCATCCATGGCACTGTGCAACCCTCGGTATACGCGCGTCGATTTGGGTGAGAGAGAAAGGGCAGTGACGGCGTGGGCGAGGTTGATGCGACACTCGGGCATGCCAATCTTCTCGCAGGCGGAATATGTGGCTGTCACGAGGGATAGCATGGTGTTATCTGCCAATCCCACGTCTTCGGATGCGACGACGATGAGGCGGCGGGCTATGTATCGTGGGTCCTCGCCAGATTCTAGCATACGTGCTAGGTAGTATAACGCGGCGTCTGGATCGGAGCCTCGTATGGACTTATGCAGTGCGGATATGGTATCGTAATGTTGGTCGCCGGCGCGGTCGTATACCAGGGTTTTGGTGAGGCTCTGTTGTATCTTCTCTTTGGTCATGTCAGGTTGCTTCGCTAGGTTCATAGCTAGTTCGAGAAGATTGAGGGCTGTTCTGGCGTCACCGTCCGAGAAGCGGGCGAAGTAATCCAACATTGACTTGTCAAGGATGGGAGATGTGTAGTTTTCGGAGGCCATTGCGCGTTCTAGTATTCGCACCAGGTGGTCTTCTTTGAGGTCGTCGAGCGTAAAGGTGCGACATCTTGAGAGCAGTGCGGAGATGACTTTGAAGGATGGGTTCTCGGTTGTTGCTGCTATGAGGGTTATTGTGCCAGACTCTACAGGCCCAAGGAAGGCGTCTTGCTGTGTCTTTGAGAAGCGATGCAGCTCGTCGCAGAAGACGATGGTCCTTCGACCCGTCAGCTGCAGCTCCCTGAAGGCTTCTGTGAAGATCTTGCGCACTTCCTCGAGCTTTGTGCTTGTACTGTTGATCTCGACGAAGCGCGAGCCTGATTTGTTGGCGATTAGGCGTGCAATTGTAGTCTTGCCTTGTCAAATAGTCAGCTCTCGAGTCGAGCGTGCAAGATGTAGAGGAAGCATTACCCGTTCCCGGTCGTCCCCAGAGCACCATTGATGGCAGTCTGCCCTCATCGACCATGCCTCGAAGAACGCCGCCAGGGCCGACGAGCTCTTGGCCATATACATCGTCCAACGATATGGGCCTCATACGCTCAGCCAGCGGCATGGCATCGGCAACTGCCTTGAGCTTCCGCGCCCGCTTTGGGGCTGATGGCGAATGCGGCTCGCCATTTGTCTGTGCATCTGCTGCCTCGTCAAAAGGACGTTTGGACGAGGCAGGCGGTGTCTTGGATCGCTCTACCAGCTGCGTGGCTGCTGGCGGTGGCGGAGGCGATGAGGTTGGGTGTCCATTCTTCTGCGTCGCGCCCGGGGGTTTGCGTGCGCCTGGGGTGAAGAAGCTGTAGGCCTTTCCCAAACTCGGCGTGCCCTGTGGTTCTGCTTCAAGAAGAAAGTCTTGGCAGCCGCTGTCGATGTGTTCGTTGATTCGGGCGTCCTTGACGGCTTTGGCACAGATGGGGCAGTCGACCATATTCGAAGATGAGTGGCTCGACGCACGCGACGCGAATTATTCTGGGGTAACGCGACGAGCGAGACCGGCGCTATCTCGGAAATGCCCCCGCTTGATGACGGCAGACGACGGACTGGAGCACGCAATACTTACTTTGTACAAGCACCCTCTCTCGTACCTGGCGCTACCATTTGTGACTCTTCGCGGATCTCCCATGTGCCAACGATACTGCCATGCGAAGTATCGTGACTCGAGCTACAACATCCATCCGAACCGCCACCAAGAGACCATCTCCAACTCTAAAGTGCCCCACCAGCTGCTCCCTCCCGCAACGAGCCATGTCTGCGACAATAAGAAGAGAAGACCCCTTCAAGCCCGCGAAGCGAGTCGCTGGGCAGAAGCAGGATGTCTGGTAGGTTGTTAAGCTCCTGCGTGCGACAACAGCTAACAGCGACAGGTCCATTGTCAATGAAGCTGCGGCGGCCTCGCCTGTGCAGCCCATCGTCAACATGGGCCAGGGCTTCTTTGGCTACAACCCTCCCAAATTCGTCCTCGATGCCGCTAAGGCTGCCCTCGACCAAGTAGACTGCAACCAGTACTCGCCCACCAAAGGCCGCCCGCGGTTAAAGAAGGCCATTGCCAATGCCTACTCTCCTTTCTTCGGTCGCGAGTTAGATCCCGACAAGGAAGTCACAATCACAACCGGTGCAAACGAAGGCATGCTTAGTGCCTTCATGGGCTTTCTGGAAGAAGGAGACGAGGTCATCGTCTTCGAGCCCTTCTTCGACCAGTACATTAGCAATATTGAAATGCCAGGTGGAAAGGTTGTCTACGTGCCCCTGCATCCCCCCAAAGACGGTGCGACCAAGACAACGTCTGCAGCTGAATGGAGTCTTGACATGAAAGAACTGGAAGCTGCCATCACACCCAAGACCCGCATGATTGTCATCAACTCTCCCCACAACCCTATTGGCAAGGTCTTTTCCAAGGAAGAACTGCAAGCTATTGGCGATGTGTGCGTAAAACACAACATCATCATCCTCTCAGACGAAGTCTACGATCGCTTATACTATGTTCCTTTTACCCGCGTCGCTACGCTTTCACCGGAGATCGCCAAGCTCACATTGACTGTCGGCTCAGGAGGCAAGAACTTCTATGCTACTGGTTGGAGAGTTGGCTGGCTGATCGGTCCTGAGCACCTGATCAAGTATGTCAGTGCAGCGCATACACGAATCTGCTACAGCAGTGTCTCGCCGCTTCAAGAAGCAACGGCCATTGGTTTCGAGCAAGCCGATGCACACAACTTTTGGGAAGAGTCAAAGAAGGAGATGAAAGCAAAGATCGACAAGTTTACCGCCGTCTTTGACGAGCTCAAGCTACCCTACTCAGAGCCAGAGGGCGGTTACTTCGTGTTGGTGAACATGTCCAAGGTCAAACTACCAAGTGATTACGAGTTCCCCCCTCATGTAGCGGAAAGGCCGAGGGACTTCCAGCTCAGTTGGTTCTTGATCAAAGAAGTTGGCGTGGCAGCTATCCCCCCGACTGAGTTCTTTACTCCAGGTAATGCGCACATTGTCGAAGACTGGTTACGGTTTGCCGTGTGTAAGAACGATGACGTCCTTGAAAGCGCCATGGAAAGGCTAAGGAGTCTCAAGAAGTATATTCAGGAATAAATGCTAGATCGTATGTCAGCTACAAATAAAGATGCTGAAATTCTGACGATACATGTTGGACTCGACCCCATTATCAGCCACCGCACATGCGCGTTACAAACAACAGAATGCAGCCGGATATGAACGTTGTAGGGAACCCTCGGAGACTATCACGCTAGGATCAATCATTTTAGCAGCATACTCACATTCATCACGATCCTTTCACGTCATATACTTCAAGTGTAAGGGTGACATGCTTCCGACTCACACTTTTGCATTCAAGTCCTTCACCTTCACCTCATATACTGCCGCCATTAGAAGGCACTTATTCCGCACATATATGACACGCGTTGCTGGTTACAAATTTGACTCACCACCGACAAACTTACCACAATAACTCTTTGAACCGTCCACCTTCAATCAAATCCGTTGAGCAAACACCAACAACAATACACAACAAGATGCTCACATTTGTGCTTTGGATTGTCATTCTTGCTCTAGCTTTGCCGCAAAGCAATGCCGCTACAGTGACCCAAAGCGCCTCAACGCCGACACAGCTCAAGAAGACACCCGGTTTCTGGCACGGTTTCCTCAATCTTCCTTCTCTTAGGCCCAAACCATCAACTATAGACCTTCCGCATCTGTCTAGCATTCTGATTCCTGGTCTAACGCCCATGCCCATGCCTACAAGGACTTCGTCAGGCAGGGTCGTTTGGATCACAACAACGCCAGGCGGTGGGGTGACAACAGTCACTTCAGTCATAACGAGTGTAGTGATGGCCTCACTGCCGCCCACCACTGTCACTACATGGGTACAACCAAGCAACGCTGCGAAGCGTGAAGAACAGCTTCCAGGGGAGGTGAACGAGGACTCGTCCTTCACCCTTGCTATTACAAATCTACCTGAGGCAGTCCTGAAGCGAGAAGACAACACGGAAGACAAAAAGGACGACACATCACTCTCGCCCAACACCAAGGAAGCCACCACCCTCCTCCGCCACAGAGACAACCTCTCAACCCCCAGACTTACCAGACGCACAACAAAGGTGTAACTTGTATACAAATTGGGACTGCAACATGACGAATCATGTACACATGGCGGTTAGATGGCCAGGGCTGAATGATCTCAAGGGCTCGATTATGGAAACTGAAGATGAAATTCTGAGTTAGGACTGCCGGATTTACTTTCTCGACGACGAGTAAGATGAGGATAGGCATTACATCCAATAAGTTTCTCCTCCTTGGGTTTTGGCTGCACATGCTTTCGGAGTAAATTTGTCAATCAAGAGAAGGCACTGAGGTATTGTAATATCATAGCTTCATTACTCTAGTTATAATTCGTTACTCGTCATCGTCGTAAGCTTCTCGGTCTTGGAATACCAAGAATTCGCCCGCTTCATCTCCCACGATCTTCTGCCACACCTCTTTGACGTTCTCAAGCACTGCGTCGTCGAATGCGAGATCCATGGAAGTGGGCGGGAATCGAACGACATGATCGTTGTCAGACGGTAGAGCCTCCGATCCAGATGAAGCCCGTTGCTGGTACTCAACAGACCACAGTATCGTAGGCGATGGTGTTATGTCCTGGGCAGAGAGCAACGACTCTATAGCTTTTCGAAGCAGGGCAAACCCGTCTTGATTGTGCATCGATGTCGAAGCATATAGCACACCTAAGGAATAGTCAGCAACATGAAGCAATAAGAACATGCGTTGAAAGTGTAGACGATGTGCCGTTGTATCAGGTTGTCAGAGTTATTGTCTTCAATGGTATTCAGACAATGTAGATAAGTATTCGTAATGTTTGTTCATCATAACAGCAAGAGTAAGGAGAAGAGCAAACTTACATTGACCAGAGGGACATTCGCCAGTATCGCTCGAATGCACGAAAACATGAACTGGCGGAAGCTCTTCAGCTTGAGAGTCTAATGTCAAGGAGCCGGACGGGAAGACAACGACAGCAGCGGCAGGTGCTGGTGCTTCCTCTGCGATGGGCGGGAACAGATGTGACAAAGACGACGACACAATGGTCATCGACCTGCAGTAGGTATCTTGAGACGCGGTTGACGAGTTTCCTCCTACGATCCACTTCGCAGTAACAACTTCGCCGTCTTTCAGGCGAAGCTTTGTACCGTTTTCGGTTGTCTCCGCGATGCCCTCAGTGATTGGGGCTATGCCTTTTCCAAGGACATAGACACCGCCACCTACAGCACCAGCTCGGCACGACACCTGACTGATTTCGGACAAGCCGCCCCATTTCGGGATGACGGCTCCAAAACCAGCCCCAAACACACCGATCGAACGTAGGTGCCTCGCAATTCTCGGTAGAGCGTATTCAGTAGTGGTCCGATCAGGCCCGGACGGTGAGAGTGTGAGTGCCAGCAGTGGTCCTTGCAGACTTGCTGGAACCTTGAACTGCTCTGTCAAGAAGTCCGAGAAAGGCCGCTGACGGTGCTCTTCCCACACCTCGATCTGTTCCTCATATTCGCTGATGAAGCGCAGAAACTTCATCAAAGCGCGCTTGGCCTTGAAGTCAAGGTCGTGATCCTGGAAAACATCTTCTCGACCATTTGGCACCTTCAGCAGCCTCGCATGCGACAACGAGCTTTCGCTCTGTGCACCTGTAGAGTATACCCACCATGTACCGACAGCAAGAAACTCAAGCTGACGATAAACCCTTGACGAGACAAGGCAGCCGAGGATAGATGAGCGCGCGTAGATGACCTGGGGGCTTAGAGACAGGCTGTATGCCCTTGAGAAGGACAGTGCGGGAGCGGCGTCAGCAACCTCGGGCTTGGTAATTGTAACATCGGAGAAGACCGTATCTACTGTGTCTTGGACGCGTTAGCGAGAGCCAAATCTCTCCAAGTCATCGTTGCTTACCATCTTTCATCCGCTGTGCCCACTCTTCAGCTTCTTGTAAGCTAAAGGCAGCCTCTGCACCGCCGTAGAAGTCATTCTCGTCGACATGGAGGATCTTCTTGTCCGAGCGCGACAAAGCTCTTTAAGCGCTGCGTCAGTCAGATCGCGGCCACTCTCGCCGGCAAGCAAGGCACATACAAAGCGAGAAGAGACTGATGCAGGCCGGTGCCTACAATGAGCACGTCCCACTCGGTGTTGTCGAGAGTTTCCATGTTGGAGCTGTAGGAAAGGATTCAAATGTCGGGAGAAGATGGTAGCGCCATTTTAGCGTGGGTGACTAAGCGGGGCTGGTGACAAAATCTGTCGACCGCTGCCGAGGAGCTTTCCTTCACCATCGCGCACGCTTAGGACATCCCGGCATTATGTATGGCATGTCCGAACAGCATCTTGATCTTCACTGATCTGGACCTGTGCGCGTGAGAAGAACACCTCGTCCGGTATCTACTGCTTTGGATTTCACCTGAATTAGCGGCTCGAATGTGGCGATACATTACTTTGAGACACTCGGAAGCTTTTGACTTCATCACACGTAGCACTCCTGCACGTTAATCGTTGTTTTATTCCATTGTGATAACTCGTCTCCTCCTAACGAGAGTCATTTGCCAGCGATGTCGATCCTACCGTCGTGCCTAAACCGCATATTGACTCGCTGCGACACGCTTAAATTAGAGGGACATTGTGACGTGATGGCGATCTACTGTCGTCAGGTCTCATGCAACCCAGGAATACAATGGAGAAAGCTGAGCACATCCTCCCAGTCGCGGTCCGGCCCTGGGTGAATCTCGACGACATTTACCCCATCCTGCTTCATGGCAGCCACGATATTGTCAATAGAATTTTCGTGATCATCAAACCTCTTGTCAAGGACATCCCCCGCCCTACCACGACTCAAAAACCGCTGTCGAGCCACTGCCCGGTCAACGCACAGCAAGAGTGTCCAGGTACTACTATCAGGCTGCCATATGTCCTTCACGCTGTCCTTGAACGTCTCCCAGCGATCTACTCCCCTCGGAAATCCATCGATAAGAATTCGTAGGTTTAGTGGTACCACCCCATCGGGAAATATACGCTCCTTGACATACTTGGGTGTCACGTTTGACGGTGCCAATGTTCCTGCTTTGACGTTCGTGACGAAGTCCTCCAGCTCAGCAACCGACAGCTTGCTTTTGATACGTGCGGCATGGCCCGTTGTGTCTGAGGAGATCAGATCACGAAGTTCATCGCCGATGGAGAAGTGGTCCAGACTGAATTTATTGATGAGAGTGGTGCATAGCGTCGACTTACCGGCGCAGGGTGGGCCGAGCACGTAGATGATAAGGGGTGGGGATGACTTGCTGGACTTGGATGCTGTGCTATGCATCGGAAGATTGGCAGTTTTGTCGCTGTTCATATTTTTGGAGTGTATAGTTAAGACTATTGAGAAAGGAATTTTCTGTGGCTCATATATCAAGTAAGTACCAGAGATGATTCACAGGTTCTTTGACTTCACGCCAACGGTCTTTGACAACGCAAGCCCTCGATCCGTATGGTGTTCAAATTTCTACGCAGTTCTACCACATATCTAGTTCCCTCGTCACAATGTGAAATGTCCTAACATGATTGTCGTCAGTGAAAGTCAGCGTTAACCTCTCGCTTCACCATCGTCCTCATATGCTCGAATATCTTCTTCTCTGTCCCATACTTTATGTCCAGCGACCCATGTTTGAAGTACTTCGCCTTGCTCACTCAATACAGTCAAGTCTGCCCTCCTGCCCTCCTTCAGTATACCTCTGCCGCCTTCGCCATCAACACCCATGAAAGCAGCCACATTTTCTGTCACTGTGCCTACAGCCTCTGCGATTCCACAACCAGACCAGTTCATCAAGTTCCTCATACTCTGCTGGAGTGGAATACATCCGCCGATCAACGTATCGGTTCCTGCGATTGTTGCTCGTGTTCCGCTCTTGACTTGCTCAAAAGGGATCTGCGAGTGACCAGGGTATGTCCCGTCCTTGAGGGATGCAAGCTCGATACTATCAGTGATCAGAATTGACCGCTTCGGGTTGGAGCGATGAAGCAGAGACACGGTATTTGGATGAAGATGTTCCCCGTCCGCGATGATTGTGTACCATGGAGGTGAAATATTTCCTGCTTCTGGTAGCGATATCAATCCAGCCAGCCCAGGGGCTCTCGATGCCCAAGCTGGCATCGCATTCAGGGTATGCGTCAAGCCACTTGCTCCAGCCTTGAGCCCAGTCAATCCTTCTTCGTATGTGGCGGAGGAATGGCCCATCGCTACCTTGATACCCTGCGACGTCAGTGTCTTGATAAGTGCCGCTGAGTCAGGGAGCTCCGGTGCGACGGTCACGAGCTTGACAGTGGATTGCAGATTGGAGGATCCATAGACGGTAGAAGGGGATGTTGAACAAGAACTGAAAAGGGAGCTGTTATGGGCGCCTTTCTTGGTAGGATGTAGATATGGGCCTTCAGTGTGAGCTCCAAGAAGAGATGCTGAAGAGGCAATCTGGCGAGGCTTCAGAGAGGGAAGGATCTGGAGGACTGTCAGCAGGCTGCACATTGTGTGCACTTGACAATGTTTGAAGCACATGGCGAAGACGCTTCAGCGCGTCATATTTGTCTTACCTTGTGGAATTCATCACTCTTTACGGTAGGTATGGTTGCCCAGAATCCCGTGACACCCTGAGTCGCGTAATACCTCGCGATTTCATCTACCTTATTTGCATACATCTTCTCGTCTTCATGATGCGTGAAGTGAAAACCATTCGCTCCATTAGTATGTAATTCCAGAAAGCCGGGGGCTATGATGCTGTCTTCCAAATCGATGGCCTCGCCTCCGATGTAGCCTTCTCTTTTCAGGATGAGCCCGGTCTCATCGGAGATTACGAGATGGTCCTCGACAAGCTCGCCGTTGAGGATGTAGCGACAGTTCGTGAACAAGGTGAACCAGCCCGACATATTGCAGACCTGGCCAATAATGTGCTGGAAACTGGTAGCGGGTAACTCCCGTTACCAAGCGTGAATAGGGAGATCATGAGTCGTCCCAAGCTGGAGGGGATGATCGCCCCCGCTACGCGCTGATTGGTCGACGACGCATCGGCATGCACTTTGACGTCATCAGCCGATCACAGCGGGAAGTCGCGATGTGACGGCCAGGATGTTTATCAGAATTTCAGCCACAGTGGAGATTTTGACAGCTTCTTGTCAGCTTCTGGTCGTGGCACAGGCAAAGGCTGAGTACGCGTCGTGCGCAAGTGGTAACGCGGCTGCCCCAGTTCCAGTATCGGTCCTGCTTGCCCTACGTCATTGACTGCAATCGGCAGCCTCGCAGCCCCGCGCGCGGCATCTCTTTCATGGTTTCTGCTTTGCTTGTTCCTTGCTTTCGCTTCTCTTAAGCGGGGAGATCTTCGCTAGGCTCAACCTCTTTCAAGACATTCGTTCATCCTTCCGCAACAGTCGCAATTGCTGGGTGAGTCTCGTCGCACGTCCACACCCTCGACCTGGGCGGTCATACAGAAGGAGACATATACAGAATGGCGGAACAACAGCAGCAACATGCTCCGGGGGGACATTACTCAGGGCACAACCCGATCCCTACCGTCAGGCAGTTCGTGGAGAACTTGGATAAGGACAAGGCGGCCCGGGACAAGAAATTGGACGAACAGGCCAAGCAGCAGACGCAGCAACAGTCGCAACCACACAAGCAGCCTGAAAGACAAGTAAAAGGTACAGAGAAGACAGTCACAGACCCTACGACTGGCAGGGAGGTCGTCATTGCCGATGTCAACAAGGACATGATAGATGAGGTCGAGAATCCGCATTTGGTCGTACCCAATGCAAACCTGGACAAGCAAACAGTATGGCACCCTTCCCGTCTCTATCACCCTTCATTAACACCTGGTAGCCAATAAAAACCGATCCCTCTCAGTCGCTCGAAGACTACAAGCACAACCAGGATGTCACAGCACCACCAGATCCAGTCGCCGAAGGCACCACGACCGACGTACCTATCCACGGTGAGAAGACAAACGTCCTCTTCCATCCGACGCCCTCGGTTAGCTACGAGCCCATGTTTGCCGCCCTCGAAACGCGAGCGAACTACCTTTGCGCGGGAATACTCATCGGGACGGTTGTCGTTGGTAAAATGTTCGGTGGTGCCCTCAAGGGCCTTATACCGCTTGGTATGTGCCTGGCATCTGGCGCATATCTTTGGATGAAGGAGGTTGTGCGCAGCGGAAGAGAGGTCGAGTGGGACAGCGAACAAGTCCGCGGCCAGATGGTACGTGTCTACTAAAGATGCCCTGCCAGAACTAACTAACCATCGTGCAGGCCTCTTTGAACTTGTTGCCAGAGTCCGTCGAGTGGATGAACACTTTGCTAGCCATCGTCTGGGGCCTCATCAACCCCGACATGTTCTCGGGTGTTGCTGACATGCTTGAGGACGTTATGCAAGCTTCCGTACCTGGTGTCATTGAAAACGTCCGCGTGGCCGAAATTAACCAGGGAAGCAACCCGTTGCGCATCCTTAGCTTACGAGCGCTTCCGGATTCACACATGGGCGATATGAAAAAATCCATCCACGAAGAGAACAAGAAGACAAAGGATCCTCAAGAAGCAGCAGCAGATGAGGAGGGTGGTGATTACTACAACCTGGAAGTTTCTTTCGCCTACCACGCCAGCCCCAGCGGAAAGCGAGTATCCGAGAGAGCAAGGAATATGCACATGCAGCTGGTATTCTACCTAGGAATTAAGGGTCTCTTCGGTGTCCCGCTGCCCATCTTTGTCGAACTGCAAGGCCTTGTTGGTACAGTCCGCCTGCGTCTGAACATGACCCCCGAACCTCCATTCTTGAAGACCTTGACTTTTACCTTGATGGGCGCGCCACAGGTGACTGCTGGATGCACGCCCATGGTGGAAAAGGGTGTGAACATTCTCAATCTTCCCCTCATCAGCAACTTTGTCAACTACGCCATCAAGGCAGCGGCCAGCATGTATGTCGCGCCGAAGTCCATGTCTATTGACATGCGAGCCATCCTTCAAGGCGACTCCGTCCAAAAAGATACCGAAGCCTTGGGCGTACTCTGGATCCGTATTCACCGTGCTGTCGGTCTGAGCAAGCAAGATCGACGTGGATCAAAGCACGGTGGTAGCGACCCTTACATAACGATCGCATTCTCGAAATACGGCAAGCCCATGTACTGCACCCGAGTTATTACTGACGACCTGAATCCAATCTGGGAAGAGACAGCAGCTGTTCTCGTTGGTCCAGAACTGATCAAGGCCAACGAGAACTTGAGTGTAGAACTCTGGGACTCCGATCGACACACCGCCGATGACATCGTCGGAAAGGTCGAAATTTCCATGCAAAAGATGATCCAGCATCCAGGCAAAATGTACCCACAGACTTCGAAGCTGGCCGGTATGGAGGCTGACAGTGAGATGCCTGGCGAACTTCACTGGGAAGTTGGTTATTTCACCAAGCCAAAGTTCAGGAAGGAGATGCGAACAGATGGCAAGAACAAATCTCTTCCAGATGAGTTAAAGGACAAGCCCGAACTACAAGACGAGAAGGGTGTCATAAACTCTGAAGAGGATGACGCTGTCATGCACACTCCACCGGATCCTCTCTGGCCTAGCGGTATCTGCAGTGTGGTATGTCATCAAATTGTGAATTTGGAGCTGGAAAACGTAAAGGGTAGTACCAACCCCAAGGGACGCGAATACGAGCCTGCAAAGCCTTACGGGGAGGGTAAAGAAGAGACTGGTGGAGACCTCCCAAACAGTTACTGCACGATTTTGTTCAACGACGAGCTAGTCTACCGAACTCGGGCAAAAGCTGTCTCATCTCAGCCAATCTTCAACGCGGGTACCGAACGATTCGTTCGTGACTGGCGGTCGGCTATCATCACGGTTACAGTGCGCGATCAGAGGAACAGGGAACATGACCCTATTCTGGGCGTGGTGCCACTGAAGCTATCTGACATTCTCGAAACATCCTCTCAAGTCACACGCTGGTATCCTCTCGATGGCGGTATCGGTTTTGGTCGCATACGAATCTCTCTATTGTTCCGCAGCATCGAGACTCGTCTACCACCTCAAATGCTTGGCTGGGACGTTGGTACCTTTGAGTTCCGGTCTCAGCGCATCCTGGCTTTGGGTTACAACCACCACCCCAAGATCAAATTGCGGACTGGCGGCAGCACCGGCAAGCTGAGTCGCACCGCTTCTCACAAGCTCCAAGAAGGTGATGGCTACTATTGGGACCTAGAGGAGAGCAATGGAAAGCACAACGTCCGACTACCAGTAAAGCACCGCTACAGGTCACCAATTGTTTTCGAATTCCATATCAACAACCATCGCAAGGCGGACGCGTACGCAGTCATCTGGCTGCAGCACTTCATAGATAACGAAGATGCGGACATCAACATCCCAATCTGGAAAACTGCTGCTCCTGCTCGACTCACGCAGAACTACATTACTGAGGAAAACTGCCATAAGGAACCGGGTCTCGACGATCTTCAGGAAGTTGGTCGCCTACAGTTCCGGGCGCGATTCAAGGCCGGAACTGACGAGTCACATGCTGCCTTTATCACCGACAATGACACCCGCGAGACATTCGAAACATGGGAGTCGTGTGTTACCGAAGGTGTGCGAAACCACAAAGTCGAGAAGGAGATCCCAGATCGCGTTCAAGAGTTGCATGAGCAGTCATTGACTACAGGTCGCGATATCTTGAAGAACGCGAGCGAAGAAGAAAAGCGCAAGTGGCTCGCAAAGGACGGGCAAGACTGGTCCGGTGCTTTCGGAGATAACCCTAAAGCCTACATGAACACCAAGCGTCAGAAGAGACGCGAACCAGGCGTCGAAGAACCCTTACACGACCGTTATCATCCATCCGATAACGAGGACAATGATGACTCTGATGATGACTATGGCGAAGACTCTTCTTCATCTGATATTGGTGTTGAAGATGCGGATACGGTTGGCAGTGCGAAAAACATGAGTGGCGGCACAGGTGGAGGTGACCAGAGCAAAACTAATGGCCAGTTGAAGTCACAGAAGACCGATTTATCGCCCACTGAGGATCATCAACCTCGCCAATCGATGTCTACAGTTCGTACAAGCACCACAGCCGAGACAGATGACACTTCATCCAGTAAGGATGTTAACAAGCAAAACAAGCGAGCCGAAGAGAGGAGACATCGTGGGCTGATGCAGTGGAAGCCCGCACGGAATGCAAAGTTTGCGAAGGACGAGGCCAAAATTGGGCTGGCTAAGCTGAAGAAGAAGGTCACTGGAGGATTGGATGGACGGCAACCTGGCGTTGAGACTGGTGAGTTACATATATTCATCCTATACAAGAGAGGCATGCTAACATTTCTCTAGAAACTGGATAAGTACGTGCGTGAGCATGGCATCAGTTCAAAGGATTTGTGAGTTGCTATGAAAGTGGTCATCGCGATGTCACAAAAAGAAAGGGTGTAATCTTGAGGGAGTCTGGAGATCTTTGCAGTACATTATGCTGCTGACTGTGAGCTTAATGATGTCACGAAGTGGATGAAGTAACCGTAGCAATCATAATAGCTAATAGAACCTTGATCCTAAGCTTGTTCATCGGTAATACCGCACCAAGTAATGGCGGTCACAGTCATGATACGTTGAGCTTGGCTGCGGCAGGACTGTCGTCACGACTAGCACACCGATATTTGGCGATCATATCAGCGGAGTGAGCACGACCCCAACATAAGCGGGCGGGAGTCCAGAAATCACAGCTACTGTAGTCATGAAACAGTGATGAAATGTATCCGAAGTACCTGCACGCAGTGCGAAGGTCGCCGGACTTACACGTCTGCCTTGCCCAGTGTCATTGCTGGCCTGAGAAGAACCACAGCACTATGCTATTATAGTATACCAGCTCGTTGGTTGACAATCGAACCATTGAATTTGGCCCTCATTCCAGGATAGCGGTCGGTCGAGTCGTTGTTCAAGGCAGGATCGACCCATTTTGCTTCAACCCCATTTACGCGCCGGCGCTTGCATGAGGCACGGTAAGCCACATAATTGCTTGACAATTGCTTACAGAACTAGACATAATTCGGGGAACTCTAGCGTTGATCAGAATGGGTCCAGGTCCAGTTTCTCGGCTGCGCCGCATGGCGGGCGCTTAGAGCTGAAGGATGACGGACGGGACGTTTTATTCTTTACGCCTTGCTCACCTGCCCAATTTGCGTGCCTTGGATGTTGGGTGTTTACAAGTGAGACATGCGAATAGACTTCATATCGTAATCTGACTAGATCATGGTGAGTTGTGCCGGTCGTTTCGCGGCATCCTTCTGTGGGACGGCCTCCGCATATGGCGGTCTTAGGCACTGCAAGTCATGGTAAGGCTGCATGGAGACTACCGATGATTAAACGCTTGGAGTTTTCTATCGTTGCATCTGTGCGGTCCACGGGGTGCCTAAACCCTCAAGGCTCAGATTACTAGGTCACTAGCTGGGTCGCTCTCAGTCACATCAAGCTAAAGACCATAGCATAAGAAATATTGTGGACTTGCTGTTGAGTGTTGTGTATCAATCCAGATTGACGAGACGAGATTGAAGATCGTGTTGGCCGCGTCAAATATGCGTTTATTCGGTTAACCTGCATATGCATGCCCGGTTGTTGGGGAGCAAGTGACCGTTTTTCTTGCACCTGCATGCATACGCCTGCGGTCACATGTTTCCAGCACACACCTCATACTTCGGAAGAGATTGCCTCATTAGCTGGGGCAGGTTAGTCTACAGCTACCGATGCTGGAATATTCCACCCAGTGGCTCTTTGTCCGGTAGCGCCAGCCATGGTAACACCATACCCATGACATGGTACATGATGACCTAGTTCCCTTCAATTGTTGGCCTCGATAATATACCTGAGAAATGTCTACACAGCTGCGAAGCTTCTTGGCTCAGAGTATCGACGGCACAGTCGCACGCCATTTCCAGCCGTGTGTGACGTGAAGATGTATTCTCCTATTCGCCGCTTTCCGGAAAAATAGGTTGAAAGATGATCAAGGTGCCTTTTGGTGTGTGCGTAAGGCTCAGCGTGGTCGCAGAAGAGGTCGTTGCGGTAGAAAAACGTGCCTGAACCCTGCCAAAGCCCGGGCATTCAACAAATGTTGGGTCCGGTAGTATGTGTTGCTTTTCTCTGTGCTTATCTCCGAATCTGCGATAGTGTGATTGTTGCGTCGCAAAGAAGACCAGCAGCATATGTACTGGCAAGGCTTGAGTCTAACGATTGTACTATTCTGATAATTGACATGCGCAGTACATCAGCCACTGCCTCTACTATCTTTCTTGAAACGTTGAAATGTGATGTGAACATCGATCTCCCTATCTCAGTAGTGTTAGACTTAGTACTGTAGATCCTGTTAGTACGACGTCACTGCCCGGATGCTTGGACAATGATCACACTACACTTGACCGGTTACGAGCATTCGACAAACCAGGTAGCCGTTGGAAACCTACTGCGCTAATGACTCAATGAGAGTGGCATTTGCTGATGCGGGGACTAGGAATTCATGGGGTCCTTCATGAGCTAGAAGACCCACTGTGCGTTACCAATAATCCGGCATGCCACGTTTCTGCGCGCTTAATGTCGTCTGCTTGAGATCGGCGTAGATCTTGGTTTTTTCTTTTGCCGCCTGCTTAGCTACCGTTTTTTTCGTTCAATGGTCAATGACAGGCTCCTCAAAGACCCTCAACCAGAGCAAATGAGAGATCATTTGCCCAATGTGACTAGATTCTGGGCGTGAAACAAGGCTAGCTCATACTTTTGGCGTCTTTGTCATGGTCTTGCGCTACGGAGTGTGGCAAGCCCTTCCGGATTCAGGATAATTCACCCATGATTCGTTGAAGCATCACCTATCCAACATGAAGACGACGAATCATGCGCTGGCCCCTCATGGAGGCCCACTTTCCCTGCAGCAATGTGAACGTGCTGGCATGGAATTGGTACGTTCCATCGTGAGCAGCTGTTGGCAATCGACCAAAAAGTTGACCGCTTCGTAAATGTCACTTCTCTATGCTGATAGCGTAGTTGACAGATCATTTCAAACATGGTGGCGGGTCTCAAGAGCGCAGAAGGGGAGATATGGGCTCACCATGGTGTATGCGCGGGACTGAGACATTCCTTTATGCCTGTTACACGGGCCGGCAACAGCATACGGTCTTCCAAGCATGGTCAGCACTGAGGACTGTGGTGACTGTCCGGCTTCACCGGCTTCTCGACTTACTCGTTTCGAGATTTTAGCCAGAGTGATTGGGCGCCGCTTCCGTCGCAGTGGTGTAGTCCAAACAAAGGGAGCGGATTTTCTTCGGTTGCTGCCCCACCTGGTCATGCTGCGATTATCGTCGATCAATTACGGCTGATGAGGGACCGGCTAAGGCGCTGATTAACGTGGGTTCTGGTGTTGGGGGTCCACCTCTCGCCGCTCTTGACAATTCTCGTGCCATCTGCCGTTTCTAGAAGTGGGCACCCGCATATACTTTCAGCCATGTGAGATCAGGCTCGGTCCGTTGTGTTGGAGGCGTGGACAACTGAAGCGAGAGAAAGAAGTAGTCGCAATGTGTCTAAGTCGTTTTGGACTGCTGCCGCTTTGACGTCAGATCCTTCCACCACAAGCGACGCCTTCCCCACTCAAATGGGAGCAAGACGTAGAATTGGATATGAGTCGTGAACATGGGGTGCTAAGCAAATTGTCGATAGTTTGAAGCGAATCTCCTGCATCATGGTGAGTCCATCCAGCGGTTGGGTGAATGCCGTCTCCAGCATGCAGAGTGGGCAAGAGAAACATGCGCAACCAACTTCTATTCCATTAAAAATTTGCCTCAAATCAAGTATCGCAGTACATTCAAGAAATCGCAGCTTGAACCAAGGGATACCGAAGTAAATCCCGACTATCACCCAACAAAAAGCTTCAATGTGCCCTCCAAAAGTGACCAAAAGTGACAGAGACGCATCCTCCAAGTGTACGGATACTAGTGCTCAAGATGCTTCCCTTTCATCGCTGGCGGGGTGCACACTGATGAGATAGTTAGCGCAGTGCCAAACTGTGAAACTGACGGACTCACCATGCAATGGGCGCACAATCGACCCTTTTGGTCGACGAAAGTGTAGTTCTGTGGATGACCTTCTTGCTGCCAGTTATCGCACGGATATCTGTTGTAGCCACCACCTGTTGCGCCGGTAGGCCTGCCGCCAGTAGAAGATTGTTGGGGTTGGTTTTGGGAAGGCATTGTAGTGACTGAACAGAGAATGTAGAGACGATTGTAAACTGTTGTTGAACTCGTTTGACTGTATGATGCAGGTATGGGGAGACTGTGGCTGCTCTGTGGTTATATACTTCGCATCGAAGATACTGTGCACTTTATAGTTGCACAAGATATCTTTCACCATCGAACCTTTCTATGCGGTTTCCGCGCCTCAATCAAAGATCACTAGACAGAGCAACATTAGCTGGGTAGATTTCGCCCCTACCGAGAGCGGTCACATTGCATTGATGTTCGGGCCCGGGAGGTGGCCGTCAGGCAGTCTTGTGAGAACAGCGAATACGCCACACGGCACCATGAACGCCTCATTAGAACGGAGCGTCAGAAGGAAACCACCTCAACTGTGCCTCCGCCACGCTAGTATAGAAATCCCGGAGCCGCTCTGACAACATTCATTTTCCCGCAATACCTATCGTGCGATGCCTATTCCGCTCTGCACTTCGACTCGGCACAGCCGAGCCGGCCCTTTTGGCAAGCGCCCCACACATCGATTACATATTGCAACAACATCGGACAGCCTGAGGCATCGAATATCGGGTCCACATCAGTAGGTCTACAAGAAAAAGGTTACGTATTTCGCTCCGAGCGTTTTCGCATGTCTTACAACAGACCCACACATATAGCCTCCCCTGGAAGCAACAGTGCTACCTGTCGAGTGCTTGCCGTCCAACAAGGCGCTAATGGTAAGTGGATTAGCTCCTGAGGATTCCTCAACGTCTGTATAGGCCGCTGATCAATATTGCTACATCATAGGGTGCTCAACCGATGCCAGGCATCAACTCGAACCTCCCATAGCCGGCGCGTCGTTGCGCCTACACCCTGCTAATGATTCTGCAGCGGGTCAACGGCTGATCGTGAACAACACAGTATACGGCCCGATATTCAGGATGAGACATGCAAGCTGGCTCACCGGAAAGAGCTGAGGACTGGTGCCGCATTATCGAACATGAGGCCGGTTGTACTATCATCAAGCAGTACGTGCATCGAGAGCGTGTTGAGCCATTGTAGGATTTCCTCGGCATTACTGATCATGGCCTCTCTAGTCGTATCTTGGACCACTTCAGTCGCCATTGTAAATCTGCTTCCCAGTCAAGTAGCCAACAGCCCAAGCCTATGAAACGATCGGGTGAACACCATGTTAATCACGCCTAGACCAAAAGCGAGGATATCTAACTGCTACTATTGAAGACTGCGTAAGATGTGCAGGAAGTGAAGCACACAAGTGGCGTGAGGAAAGCCCTGCCAGTGGGCAAGTTCCCAAGCCGCTGACGCCGAACTTGGAGTACACATGCTAGAGAAGGAATCATATCATGATTCTGAGCTCCGTGAAGCAGACTCATCCTGGTAGGTATTCTGGATGAGCATCCACGAGCCAGTAGAAATGCCACTCAAATCAGGTGACTCCTGCGCTCGGAGCTGCGATACCGATCCGACCACTGGCGGGATCATGGAACAAACTAGCAAACATAACAAGCAGCTCTATCACAGGGTGCAGAGCCACTTCAGAAACTCCATACTGTGTTTTCTGTCTCGTTTTGTTTCCTAGCCGTGCATCTAACGCATAAACGCGCTTCAAGCAATCGCCTCCACGACTGTGCCGCATCACTTGCTCGCTGCGACGACCACATTCACCAGCCGCACCTTTGGCCAACCACACAACTATCGATGAATTACTTGAAATTGGTCGTAGAAGAGGAGCTATGCTTGACTGAGAACAATACAGCATTAATCACCAGGACAGGAGCGACTTGAAACTGAAGAAGCATCGCTACATTTGGGAATACAAGCAAGACGGTTTCCCGAAGAAGAGCTGAAAGGGCAGGGACAGGAACACTGCTGTGTATTACAGGCGTAAGCCATCTGATCTAGGCCGTGATCTTAGCATCCTTCCTCTCGCACTCACCTTCCCTGTCGCCGAACTCACACCATTTACAGTGTCTTGGCAACTGCTCCTCCAAGGATTAACCTCGCAAAGGCCTCTCTCTCAGCATGTTGTCACACTAGTCAGTATCAATTCAAACGGAGGAATTACCATCGTTGATATAAAAGTACTAGTACGAAGCAAACGCAGCTTGAGCAACGCCTCCACAAGCTCAGCGAGTGATCTCCAGATGACCAAAAAACGTTTTTGGAAGATTGTCTCACTATATGGGGAACGAAGACAACACCCTGTTACCTGAAGATCTAGGCGTCCATTGGCGTCAAGCATGATAGGTGTATACCTTGAATGTGAGGCGAATCACAACCCCAACGATAGTAGTGGCGAATATGGGAACGTGGTCACATTATCCTCCTGTTATCATACGCTATGCGACAGCATTCTGCTCGCATTAATTACCCAAAACATTCTTAGTCGTTCCACATTCCTTGACATTGGCTGGTCTAGATAACGCCATCGCTCAATGGCATTTTGTATTGAACGATGTGGTCCTCCTAATTGTACGCCGCCACTCTGTCACCAACATCCAGCATGACTCCGCCGCCGTCTTCAGCGTCGAAGAACTCGTCATCACTTTCGTCTTCGTCAAGTTCTGTAGGCGCGTCGCCCACACCTTCACTTTCGAGTAGCGCGATAACCTTCCAGGCAGCGATAGTCTCAGCCTGCAATCTCTTGACTCCCTCGACGCTCCCTCCGACATCTTTCCCACCAATGCGAACCTGAACTCTATACCCTCGCTCAGAACCTTGTGTCTCGTTCTTGTTACCTTCTTCGTCGCTCGGAATACGAACGTACTTGATACCCTTGTTAGCAGCAAGGGTATTGATCCGCTCTTTCGGATGCAAGCAGTCTACACCGTCGCGCAAGATACGTTCGAGACATGGCAAGATACCAAGACGATGGACGAAATCTTCGCAGACAGATATAGAGCCATGAGAATCGATATAGAGGGCGCCGATAGCACTCTCGACTATATCGGAAAGGAACTTGGGTGGATCAGTGAGTGAAAGGGCATGCCACGGGAAGCGGTTGTCCTGCGCTAGAGCGGCAGCGATGAAACCCCGTGTCTCGGCATGTTTTTGTAAAGCTATAGTCCTCGCAGCGATAAGTTCCACACTCGATGATCGAAGGAACTGCCATAAAGCTCTCTGATGTATCTCTGGCTGGAGGGTCGCCTTGTTTGTCAACTCCTCTGCTACTGTAGTCTCGAACATGCAGTAAGACAGAAATGCAGCATTGACCATTGCCGTTCGGACACCATGCATCTTCCAATGTGGAAGGCTTGGTTTGTGAGCATAGAGCCGCTTTGAAATGATGTAGTCGAGCACTGCGTCCCCCAGAAACTCGAAACGCTCGTAAGAGCAATGGACGTTAGGGCCCCGGAACGTGGGATGCGTGAGTGATTCAAGTAGAAGTTCTTTCTTGTTGAACGTATGACCTAACAGCTGCTCAAGCAACACCAAGTTCGCTACTTTGTCTTGAGAAGAAGCTGCTTCATAGAGTATCTCATTTGCCTTTGGAACAGGCGTCCATTTCTCAAGCGGTAGGAGAGCTTTCATGCACACAAAAGCTTTTGAAAACCCACCAACAAGGTATGAAGCTCCGATGAGTGATTCTATAACGTCGGCGATCAGTTTTGACGACTTCTCCTCCTTGACTGGCGGCGCGGTTCCAGTGAGTGTCTGACCAATGTATCGTGGTTTCCACTTAGCACCTGTGAAACGCTTGTAGAAGATGAACTTGTCGAGACCTGCAGCTACTGTGGCCCGTGCTAGATATCCGTTACTGACAAGCTTTCCTTTCTTCCCCGTTAGCATACCCTCTGGCATGAGCAGATTTGCAGCCATCACATGAAGAGAAGCCATAAACTTCAAGATGCAGTCTCCGAGAAACTCCATCCTTTGGTAGTTGTTGCATCCATCGACTGCGGATGAGGTGAGTGCTGTGATGATGATTGGGAGGTCTGATGCTTCGAATTCGGCTGGCTTTAGTAACGTCGTTCTAAGCGTATCCGCGATCATGTATACCTCAAGTCTGTGTAGGATTGATGGAAACAGTAAAGCAAAGATGGCAAATCTGGCAGGAAGATTCTCGACGATACATGTCGAAGCTAAAAGACTTTCGACCTTGGTGTACGCGTCGTTCGTGTCCGCGCTTTGGTAGACAACATGTAAGAAGTCTCGACGCTTAGGCAACCGCACAGCTCGTAGCAAAGTTTCGTATCCTCCCGAAAAATCTGGAGAATCTGATGGCGTGATAGCCATAGGCATGAATTTCCGAGCGTCGCCTTGCTGCATAGTCAAACCCCAGCTTGCTATGTTGACATTTCCTTGAATCAGAAGTCTGTGTGCTGATTGTTGGCCGTTTGTCGTCGCATGCCATTCATGGAGTTCACTCTCGGTCATCATGTAACCTGATGAATCGCACGGAGCAAGTAGACAGAGGAAGTCGTCAACTCCTTCTTTGATGTGAACTCCAAAGACTGAGTGCAAGATCTTCCACGTGATAGAGCGCAGCAGACCAATACCTATGTCGGCCAGTGATGTACCATATAGACAAGAGCTCGTAACTGTGTACCGCTTGGATTCGTTCCAATGTAGTAACATATCAGGGACTTCGTACATGGCGACAGGAGTCAGCAGTATGATACGTATCGGCTCCTCATCTGGCGCCTTTACCTCAAGCAGGGTACGGTACCATATATCGGGTTCATGTTGATGAGACTGTGCGACACTTAACCAAGGATCGAGAGTTAGGGCAACGGGCACAACGGATGGGCGATCGTCCCGGATCTGGTATTGTGCTGCGTCGTCTTCTTCGTCTTGTACAGGGAGAAGATTTTCGTTCACCAATCCGTGCAAATACAAAGCCTTATATGCTCCAAAGGCAGCATCTTTTTGAGCCATGCGCTCTGTCCTCCAGGTCTCCAAGCTTTTGGTTTTCCTCACTTTGGGATCAACTGAGAGCGGCAATGTGATCTCAGCGGTGATCTGGCCGCGGTCGTTTGTAAACTCGACTTCTGGTCGCGTATCGGCGTAAGCGCTACCCCCAAGACGAGCGCAGAAATGATGGAGGTGTTGAGAGGCGTTATCCAGAGTTAGCAGAGCGCTGGTTTTGTTAGTAAATAGATAATCAGGGTGAGTTGGTTTTGATGGCTGGATGCTAGAGCAAACACGACCCAGAAGAATCTCCACTCACCCAGTATTTGGAACCCTGAAGTACCGCTCTCCGACCTCGTCTATATGTTCTGCTTTCTGCGCTGCCTGCACTCGACGCTTATCGTCCTCATATGCTTTCCTCATCTCAGCCTCAAGCGACTGCCAGGACGTCGAGGACCGTGCCTCTCCAGTATCGGGCACGAAAATCAGATAACGCGATTCTTGTTTCCTTGCTCTTCCTCGTCGTTGAACGAAGCTTTTCAGATTCTTGGGTCTCTCGAAACACACAACGAGATGACAACTGGATACATCGATACCTTCTTCCAGTACCGTTGTGGCTAGAACAAGGTTGATGATACCAGCGCGAAAGTCATCGAGTGTGGTTTGCTGATTCTTAGGTTCTGCCAAAGCAGATATGTTTGCCTTTTGTTTGGACGACTTCGACGAGCCGACAAATGTCCCTACCCGTAGCAGATCTTTGGTATGTGGGTGGCATGCTAGTATCTCTGCGAGCGATGCTACCCAGACCCGCTGCTCGATAAACACAAGGCCGGTAAAACCTGGGGTACCATTGGCTTCAGCTACTAAAGTATCGACAAGCTTATTGACTTTGTGAGACGAATTCTCAATCATGGTAGCAGGTATGGGTGAAGGACTTTGGAGGGGAAGTGCCCGGAATATTTCCAAGAGATATTGCTTCTCGGTGGCAGTCAGGTCCAGCAGCTGCTGGTCTGAGCCGCGGGTCATGTTGTCGAACTTGGCTATGCATTGATGTAAGTAGTACTCCATAGCAGAGACCCCAAGTTCTTTGGCCATCGCCTCAGCTTTTGATACCAACTGTTTCAATTGATCGTAGCAATAAGTCTTCTGACTATTCCACAATTTGGTCAATTGGCGAGAAACATCGAAACCACGCTTTTGTTGGTCCAACAATGCGATCACGTACGGATCTTTCGCAAGATCATACGTGCGGTATACATGCTGCAACGCAAGGAGCAGGTGAGAATGCTCTTGACCCGAGGCGTCCGAAGAGTAAGTGATTTGCAGTAGCTGAGGTCTATGCGCATACCGCATCAGCTCGGACCTGTGTAGCTTTGGTGTCTTTATGGCCGCATGCAGGTTCTGTTCAATTTGCCTACAGATATTAGGGGGAGAAAACCTGTTCTACCAAGTCGAACTTACTGAAGCCCTTCTGCGCTAGCCGCTGCTTTCATGACAGGGCTTGCGCTCAAGCCAAGAACTTTAGGTAGTGAGCTGTCTCCATTCTTCAATTGAGGCAAGTAGAAATCGGACATTATACTAGTACTGTTAGTTCCTTCTGCTCATTAGATTTTTGGTATAAAATGAAGGACCCTACAGGTGAGCTGGGTGTTTCAATGTGCAATGGTGTGCTACAGGACTTTAGTACTAAGATGTTGTTGTGTTAACGCGACGAACTGACCCTCGTCGAAAATTAGCAAAGCCAGCTTGCTCAACTTGACAAAACCATGCGTGAGGGCGTCAAGGAGTACCCTGAGCACGTATGAGTGGGTGCGCGTGGAGTCTGTTGCGCTCAACCTGGGGGCTTACGCGTGTGTTGAGATGACCACGCGAACATTGAAAAGTACTCGGTCCCACTCTGCCTGGGTCGTCCACAGCTCAACATCATCTCTCCCACAAAGTAGCTGGTGTCCGACCCCAGGTATATTAGATTGAAAGGCATCATATTGCTGCTCGCAGAGTGCAACTGTTGGCGCAAGAAACCAGACAACCTGAAGGAGGCGTGTGAGATCAAGTCTAGCGTGGGGATCTAGCGGCAGGTATAGGTATCCGTACCTGGCCGGGTTCGCACGTTTCCAACTCCGCTCGTGTTCGTTCGATGGCTCTGCGAACTTGTCAGTATGGTCCCGTCATGGCAGAACATGCAAACCTACATATGCGTCTTTCCCGAGCCTGTGTCCATGACGACAATGACGTTGTCTTTCATGCTCTCTGCAACCATCTCAGCCTGATAGCCTCGCAGCTGAAATGTCTCACTGGAAGCAGTCGGAATGACTCCACCATAGTTGTCATCTTGCATTGGCGAATCCATTCGTATTCTAAAAAAAAACGCGACGCAAGCAAAGAATGTGTAGAAGTGGTAACCTTTGGTGTTGGGACTTGAGGTCCAAGGGTGGCAGCGTGCTAGCCTACCCGAGTAGCTGTGTTGGCTGGCGGCGGATATGCAGAAGACCAGAACCATGCACAAAGTCCTGGCTGTTGTCTTTACTGCATGAATAACCCCATTAGATTTGACCGAAACGCGCAACACCCAATGACTGCAATATGAGTTCAAGCATTGGGCATCTCAAGACATCATTTTCGTAAATGCTACATAAGTCGCTTCATGCCTTTGGCGCCGAGTTCATTTATTTCGACCCAGTGCAGGACGGTGCTGCATCATAACCCTCTACAAGTTCGTAAGGTAGTCCTCAACCTCGGACGGGCTCAGCTTCCTGAACCGTGGTCCCACAGCGCCTTCAACACCCTCAACGCCAAGGAGCCTCTCCTCTGGCGGTCCGACGATACCAATCTCAACGGTCTCTCCATTCATCTCTCCTTCTATGGTCTCCTTGAGTGTGAGCAGAGCAATGTGGATAGCGTCCTCAAGCTCGAGACCGTCAGTGTATCGCTTCTCCAAGAAGGTCTTGGCGCTTGTCGCGCTCTTTCCGATCGCTGTCGCCTTCCATGGGAAATAACTGCCGCTGGGGTCGACCTGGTACAGACTGGGTCCGCCCTTGAGGATGCCACCAGTCTTGCCGCTGACCTTCTTCTTCTCCTCGCTCGTCTGCTCTTCGCTCTTGCCTTCAGCCTCAGGCTCGATACCGTCGTCCCATCCTGCGATCAGCAGACTAACACCATACGGTCGAACACCACCAGACTGTGTAGCCTCCTGCATCACTCGCGCCACGTCCTGGACTAATATCCTCGTGGGTGGGTATTCGTTGTAGACGCGCTTGTAGCCAGTATGTGAGACCTTGCGGGCCTTGTCGACAAGAACGCGGTAGTCAGGGCCCATGCCCGAGTAGACCATACCGATGTTGGGTGTTATGAGACTAATTTTTGATGACGATTGCGAGTCGATGAGCGGCGATGACGACTTCTTCTCGGTTGCGAGGACAATGCCGTTGGTTGCTGCAAATTCCAGTCAGCACTGTTGGAAGCCAATGAGCGGAGTGACGTACCCTTGATTCCTAGTGAAGTAACACCCTGGTTGACGGCATTCAAGGCATACTCTATTCATGTGTTAGATGTTGTCTGCTCCAGTACGGCGGGACTCGTAAGATTTCCAGGGCGCATACCAATCTGTACCAGCTTTCCGCTATATGAACGTTAGCAAACATATCATGTGTAATCGAGACCGCAGTGTTTACCTGGGAGAGAAAGTGGTGAGGGAGAACGAGTATCTGTCCGCCATGGTGACTGCTTGACAGGATCGAGAGGTGGTATGTGAGGAAGGGTGTAGTCGGCGGCAGGGAGAGGTTCAGTGGGGTTGATAGACGACGCGGGTTACTGGAGGCGATCTGCTAGAGCTCCAGGCTACCCAGAGCTTCGTCGCCGACGGCGCCAAGACCGGCGCTCGGCCTAACTGTGCCTCCGGTCTGCTTCCAGGAAGCTGCAACTTTGATTTCTTCGACCTTCCAGAACTGCTCCTCTGAATCACCACCACGTCTACGACACCTGCATCCTGCCACCGTGTCCCTAGTGTCATACAGCAAAGGCGGCTGTGGCGGAACATGATCCGCACTACCGAGACACTTAAGTTGGCGAATGTCTTCCCCGCGACTTCCTGATTGATCGCCTTGTCATCTTATGCTTACCCACATACTTCTTTACTGGTAAGAGCTGCATTAACTTCTACCTTGTACCTTTACAGCATTTCGATCCGCCATGTCTTCGTCTTCTGGATTCCAGGCCATGCCGGGTTGGTACTGGCCTGATGACGCGCCGAAGACGGAGCCCTCCCAGCCATCACCTTCAGGCACCTCCAGTACCAGCGACAACGCTTCGTCGCAATCGCGCAGCTCTAGACGTACTCACTGGCCGCCGCGACAATGCAGGATATGTCTCGAGACGGTTCAGCCAACATTCAATGTTCCCTCACAAAGCCTTCCCGGCTTCTTACAGTCTTCCAATGTGGTTTACGAAGACGAAAGCGGTCGCCTGATCCGTCCATGTATGTGCAAAGGTTCATCCAAGTATGTTCATGAGGCTTGTCTACAGGCCTGGAGGCATGCAGACCCTAGCTATGGACGTAGGAACTACTGGCAATGCCCTACTTGTGGCTTCAAATACCGACTTGCGCGTCTTGGAGTTGGGCGCTTCATAGGTAGCATTGGTACGTTTTTGTCATTATATCTCCTCTTTTTACGATAACTAACACGTTGCAGGTGCTCAGGTTGGTTTGACTGCCATCATATTAATTTCCATCATCTTCGTCCTTGGTTTCGTTGCCGATCCTATCATAAACCTGTATCTGGATCCATGGAGCTTCTTGTCCCCTTTCTCAGGATCTGATTACTCGTACTACTATGAGGACGAAGAGTCAGCCACTTGGTATGAGCACTTTGCGAAAGGCTTTGCCAGCATGGGTGTGCTTGGTTTCTTGAAAGTTCTCATCGCTAGTCCGCTCTCCTATTTCAGAATTGGAGGAGGCCGAGGTCGAACGACTGGTCGAGACCGATATGAGCAGGTTAGCTGGATCATTATCCTGATAGGCGTGGGCACATTTCTAGCGGTATGTGAAGAAACCGCTTCCATCATAATCATTTACTGATAGTATTTAGGCAATCTACAAAGGAGTCCGTGTATGGAGTCGCCGTACGCTTGAAAAAGCTGGCGAACGTGTCATGGATGTTCAAGGCGATAATGACGACGATGATGAATAGCTTCGGCTGAAATGGAGACGGTTCATCGAGCAGTTGCTTCCAGTATCTCTTCACTCAACACTTGGTCAAGCACTTTCCAACGTCCGCACTTTCTTAAATTGCCACAAGTTATTCCTCAATACTGTGTCGATTAGTCTACGTGCGAAGATCAAACCAGCCCGCGACCTCCATATCGGCATTGCGCGTTTTGTGCTCGCCGGCTTTGTGGAACGTGGCGCTACCCACCTTTGGCACTCATTCTGTTCCATCTCGCCCGCTCTACCCTCGTGGGGTCCCTCTAGTTTCTTCCGTCAAAAGAAGAAGCAAACAGGGGCCTGGAGCACCCTTTGTGGCATGAACGACATCAGGCCTCTGGTACATCTTCATTCATCACTTGTGAACGTAGAGGACTAAACAATTGCATGACAGCTTGTAAAGAATTATTATCGTGAATCACAAACGAGATTAAACGCCACCATGGTCACTGCTAGTGACACTACCATAAAACCCAAATAACGCCGCAGGTGTATACCCCGCAAAAAGGTGCTGCAAAGCTTGTCCATCTAAAGTGATGATGCTTGCCTCGCAATACCGTATATGTCCAACCAGTCCCAACCGATCCCAAGAACAAACGAAAACCGTACAATACAATATATATAGGCCCAGGGTATCAATGTAGAATATTAAAAGCCACTTCTCCTTCTCTTCCTCAACTAGTGATCAGGCTTGCCACCCTTCATAAAGACCCTCTTGGTAGCACCAACCTTGCCGAGATCACCAAACTCGGTCTTTTTCCCAGCCACAGCACTACTTGGGCGACTGTCACTTGTGCTATCCGTCCGCTCGAAAGGCGGATGGTTTGAAGTGATGACGTTACTGCTCACGGTGCGAGCTTGCTTCATCATGCCTTCGATCCACTCCAGCTTCTCGCCACTAAGGTCCAATTTCTTCGCTTTCGGGCCAGCGAGCCCGACTTCTTTGCCTTGCCAAGAATTGCGAGACGAGGTCGAAGAAGGCATAGTCGGGTCTTCAGTAGCGCCTGGTGTTCCAGTGATGAAGCTAGGCATCGGTGGAGGCGCTTCGTCGCTTGTGAAGTAGCTCAGACCAGATGACTTGACGGGTGTCGTGTTTGGACTGGCCAAGGGAAAGCCGACGCTGATTCGTCTCTCCATTCTGCTCGCCCTGCTGTCTGGTCGGGTGGGAGAACCATCGGGGTTCTTCACCTCGAGACCTAGGACCTCAAATTTGCCTTCGCTTGCAGTCCTGCGACCGTGGTGCTCAGCGTATTGGCGCAGATACTCACCCAAATCAGACCAACCACCACCAACGCGGACCATGACACGCTCACCATTCTCGCCAACGCGGCGGATGAACAGCTTGATGGGCTGTTCTTTGCCAGGTTGCGTGAGATGATACAACTTGATGTCGTTATCGCCTCTTGCCGCCGCTGCAGACCTCCGTCCGGATGCAGTGTTGTTTAGATCGAACTCGCTCTTCGCAGGCGACAGAGTGAGCTCGGGAGACTTGAGGCCACTGACTGAGCGAGCTGCGCGCAGGTATCCACGACTTCCCTTGGCTAGAAGGCCACGAGCTGGCTTGACTTCGGGTGCATCGGGGCCCGGACCTGATCTGAGTCTAATGCGGCCGGGAATGGTTGTCAGGATATCAGAGATCTTGCGCTCGAGCTCTTCCGCGCTGCTGGTGGATTTCTGAGCGAAATGTGTTGGCGGCCATGGTGCGCTCACTGTATCGTCTGCGGTGGTGGTAGTAGTAGTCTGTACAGGTCGACGCTTTGCCATGGCTGCATTGAGCTCGGGACGCGGTGCTCTCATAGAGCGGTTGGTTGCGTTTCGAACTGAAGGAGACTCCTCCACGGTACTAGGTGGGCTTGAGTCTGGTGAGATGTCTGTTGACAGCGAACTCAAACTACCTCTCCACGAGCGTGGTGTTTGAGGCGGCTCCATAACGGGACTGTCCTGGCCATCGTTTTTGGTGATAGTTGGGTTACCAAAAAGGGCCAGAGGTTTGGGTCGGCTTTGTGAAGATGCCTGGGATGGTTGATCTACTCCAGTCGGGGCCGATGAAAGTGATTCAGACTCTGACTGCGCGGCGACGTCTTCAGGACTCTCGTCGAGGTCGTATTGTACCACGGTATCGCCTTCCTCAAATTCCGAGTCTTCGTCAACAGATGGCGCGATGCCTTGTTGCAACTCGACTTCTGTAGCCTCAGTCTCTCCAGATACCTGACGTGTGTTGTTGGAGCCGATCGAGGTGTGGAGTGTTGGGTTGCTGCTGTTGGATGCGTCGAGGGCATAGTCACCAGAGAACATCTCCCGATGAGGTATATTACCAAAGTAGTCATGCGGAGCTACTCGATGGCTATTCTGCGAAGCAGCTTCCTCTGGCGATGCTTCGTTAGCAGACGCTACAGAATCGATTCGAGCATTGACAGCGGCTGGTCTAGGGGCAGAAGCGGACTGCACAGGGTTGTTGTCCGGGTGTAGCCCAGGCTCAGATGCAAGGTCAGGGGGTTGTAATGTCTCGTGTGTACCGCCCTTGCCAATGACATTAAACCCCTCGGCCCGCCTTCGGACTTCGAGGTCGATGACCCTCCTTCTCGATTCGTGTTTCCAGCGTCCGTAGTCAGCCTCTGTAGTCTCAAAGACGTCTATCCAGTTGTCTGGCAGGCAGTCTTCCTGACCTTCGAGCGTATCGAGCATCTTGTCCAGTTGCCTACCCAAATCGCTGACTTTTTGGTGAAGCACCCGAGAGATGGTGTCTACGGCACTCTTCCACTGCTCGAAGGCGGCATCGGACGTATCTGCTGGTGGCTCAATGGCCTCCCAGCCTAACCGCATAGCTTCTTGCGCTGTGTCGAGCTCGCCGGTGTAGCGGGGTGCTTCGCGGAGGATGGAGACGCGGGCAGTCCATGTGCTCAGGCGGGCTTTGAGCTGGGCGTGATGCGGTAGGGCGGATAGGAGGGTTTGGGTGATGAGAAAGGAGAAGTCGTCCATGAGCTTGTAATGTTGGCGGTTGGCCTCGTAACCAGCAGAGGACGGTCTCGACCTGCCTGCTGGGTGCATGTCCAGCACATGTTCCTTCAGCTCTTCGACATCTAGCTTCAGCATCTCGTCGGCGATGTCGTCTAGCCGCGCCTCGTGTTGCTCCACCTCGACTGACAGCATCGACCCCCAGTATTCCAATGGCGGCATGGCATCGGCGCCGTCGGATTCGGCCACGTGCTCCCTGATGTGCATCTCGATGCTTTTCCTCCTCTGTTCGCGGAACTGGGCGCTCGGCTGCTCGAAGCTGCCCGACCAGCCCCATTGCTCAATCTCGGCGCACCATATCTTCAGCCGCTGCGCTGCCTTTGCGACGCGCGATCCCAGGTCCCTCTCGGCGGCGGTGAGGGTCTCGATGCAGGAGAAGATCTTGTATTCGTCGCGTGTGGTGTCGTAGGGCATGGGCTTCTGCGTAAAGGCGCGGAGGGTGGTTTCGGGCGACAGATCGCGGAGGCGGCTCTCTTCTGAGCTGCCGTGCGCCCTGCCTCTTCTGGTTGCTGGTGACATGGCTGGCGATGCAACGCGACGGGGTGTCAGGGGCGGAATCATCCGCAGAGGTGAGGAAAAGACGTCCATGGCGATGTTTGCGGTCGGGATGAAAGAGCGACTGGTGACTGTTACGACAAGGAAGGTACAAAGGAGAGGCGACGAGTCTCAGACACAGCAAGTCGCGAGTGGCTGTGCGGCTGGGACTGCGATGGTCATGAATTAGTATCCTCTGTCTCCCTCCTGTTGCCGTGGTGGTTGCGCTGCCGGCAGCCCGAATGTTTATTGACTGACGCAGTCTTCGCCGAGCATCTTGCGCCGTGCACTCTTGCATCGTTCACCCGCATGTTACTAAGCCAAAAGCACATTAGCTGTAGATCCGTTTCGGATTCGACACCCAAGCTCTCGCGACAACTGTGCCTTGTCGCCTTGAGACGGCACCTTGATGGACGATAATGCTATATAGCTAGCAAAACTCCCCGTGTCTTCAGCTGCTGCTTCCATGCATCGGTCTTCGCAATTCCTACCTTGCCAAGCGCGTCGCGGAACAAGGCAATTCTCTCCGCACTCCCCCGCAATCAACTTCAACCGGCCATCTTGTGCTCTGTGCCGTCTACACCATCAGCTCACACTTTCCACTACGCTTGCTTTTCTTCGGACGGCTTTCGGGTCAGTCTCTGGCGACGTGCACGGGACAGCAGCGTCGGCATGCGCGACTTTCCGACCTGCTATCTGACCGTCAGATTTTGACCGCAGAAGATACGCACCTCTCTGCATACTCTCTTCCTCATTCCAGAAGCTACCCCACTACGTATATCGTCATCTTCCTCTGCCAAGCACCTTAATGTTCCGCCCCGCGTCTCTATCTCATCTACCTTCCCGAGTGCGTTAGCGAATTACCTGTATACCTCGTCGTTACGCAGTGCCTGCATCCAGCTACCGTTACCCCATGTCACAATACGATGGCACGTAGGAGCAGGGAATTCGGCAGGCTCAATTGCCCTCGGTAGGAGCAGCTATCCTCTAGGTGGAATGATTGACGTTATCGAACCGAACCTCGAGCGAGCTGCTTGCAAGTATAAAAGGTACCATGCATCGTACCATTCTGCGGTACCCTTCTGCCTCTGTGAAGTGTGCATTTGTCAGTCAATATGAAGGCAACTCTTTTGGCACTCGCTGCTATTGGCGCGCAAGCCTGCCAGCGTGAACGTGCATTTCTACATCACCCACATAAGCATGTCAAGCGGCAATCCGCTTTCCCTCCAGCCTTGACACCCGATGAAGAGATCTTGCTAAACTCCTTTGACTCCGTGTCAATATCTGAATGGTCATACTACTACAGTATGCTTCACCAAACTTGCCAAAACAAGTAAACTAACCAAACGTAGCTCATGGCCAACATTTGGCTGGTCAGAATGAGTCGATGGGTAACCAAAGGTCGTTCTCAAACGATACAGCAGAAGACTAATCATGAGTGCAGCCCAGTGGACTGCCGACAAATGGTCCGAATACGGATTCACCTCAAGGCTCGACGAGTACTGTACGTTACTACTATCTGCAACTTCATAAACATCTATTCCGAAAATGACGCAGATGAGTGCTGACATGACTCAGATGTCTTCCTTAACTACCCTGTATCGAACTCGCTGCAGCTCACATATTCCAATGGTAGCACTTACACTCCTACCCTTATGGAAGATGTACTGGCAGAGGACGAGACAACGAGCTATCCCAATAGCGTTCCAGTCTTCCACGGCTACAGTTTCACCGGCAACGCATCTGCAGAATACGTTTACGTCGGACGAGGCCAGCAAGTTGACTTTGACCGCCTCGCGGCGCTTGGTGTCGATCTTGAGGGCAAGATTGCACTGGCAAAGTACGGTGGCCCATTCCGTGGCCTCAAGGTTAAGAATGCTCAGGACCACGGTATGATCGGTGCTGTGATTTTCAGTGACCCGGGCGATGATGGGAACATGACAGAAGGTGAGCTCAGTAGATCTTCTACCAGACTTTCTCACTGACAGCTCTTAGCAAAGGGAGTGGCCCCCTACCCTTATGGTGGTGCGAGGAACCCTTCAACCGTTCAACGTGGATCCGTCCAGTTCTTGTCTACTTATCCAGGAGACCCGACTACTCCTGGTTACGTCTCCAAGCCAGACTCACCACGCGCAGATCGCACCGAAATTACTCCACAGATTCCATCATTACCTATTTCTTGGATTGAAGCCCAGCCTCTACTTCAGGCGCTCAACGGCTTTGGAACCAACGGCACTGCAGTCAACAGAACAAACTGGGTTGGGGCCATTCCCGGAGTTGGTTATTTCACAGGCGAGGGATCCGGCGCATCTCTATCGATGAGTAATGTGATGAACGACACGTATGGCACAATCTGGAACGCTGTTGGTATCATCAACGGTACGCTCGAGGATGAAGTCGTCATTGTGGGCAACCATCGTGATGCCTGGATTGTTGGCGGTGCTGCCGACCCTAACTCTGGATCTGCCGTGCTCATTGAGTTGGCCAAGGCATTTGGCGCCCTCGCTGAGACAGGTTGGAAGCCCTTGCGAACAATCGTCCTTTGCAGTTGGGACGCCGAGGAGTATGGCCTTGTTGGAAGCACTGAGTGGATGGAAGAGTACATCCCCTGGCTCAAGAACGCCGCAGTGTCCTACCTCAACATCGATGTCGCGGTCAGCGGGCCCATCCCAGACGTTTCCGCAACTCCAGACCTCCACGCTGTTGCCACGAATTTAATGAAGAAGATCGTTTACCCTTACCGAAACGACACTAGCCTTACCATGTACGACGTCTGGTCGCACGAAAGCGGCGAGGTCGGTGTTCTGGGTAGTGGAAGTGACTACACCGCTTTCCTCCACCGTGGTATTGCATCCATCGACATGGGAGCTGGCGGAGGTCCAAACGACCCGGTCTATCCCTACCACAGCAATTACGATTCGTACCACTGGATGGCTACCTTTGGTGACCCTGGCTTCATCACCCACAAGGCCATGGGACAATTTCTTACTCTGCTCTTGTACCACATGGTATCCGACCCTGTCGTGCCCCTTGAGCCAGCAGACTACGTCTCTGAATTCAACACGTACCTTGAAGATCTCGAGACGGAAATCAGCGGTAGCAACTTCACTGTTGACCTTACGAACCTTACTGCAGCAATCGCCCAGTTTGAAACCTCGGCCCAGGAGTTTGTTACGTTGAGAGATCAAGCTGTTGCTGCGAATGACACTGAGCTTATCACCGTGCAGAACCACAAGGCACGCGATTTCTCCAGAGGCTTTACCTCGCAGGGTGGCTTGCCCACAAGGGAGTTTTATCAGCATACGATCTTCGCTCCTGGACGTGATACTGGATATGCTCCAGTCACCTTTCCTGGTATTACTGAGAGTATCACATTCGATCAAGATGCAGACTTGGCGCAGGAGTGGGTGCAGAAGACTAGCTCTGCGATCTTGGTCGCTGCTAGTATCTTGAAGACGTAAAGACTCAAGGAAAAGAAAACATCGTTACAATCATTTGAGTAGTAGCAGAGGGTGGGGGAGACAGCCCACCGACGGACTTGGTGAAGAAGAGATATGTGGTCAGTAGTAGAAAGAATAATGATAATGTATGCTGCAGGATTCCTCGCGTTTCGTTCTTCCAAAGCTGAACAACATTCTCTCCGCTCATTTCACAACAGCAAACAAGAAGCCGTCATAAGATTTCTCGCCAACTGTCTGCAATACCACGCCGTCCAATCTCTCATCCTTGCCCACGTTCTCCACCACCCTCCTCGCACCCGCAACCCTTGGATCATCCGTCTCCTCCGCCAATTGACCCTTCCTCACCACATTATCCACGATGACACACGCACCTGAGTCACACATATGCAGCGCCAAGTCCACATAATTCCAGTTATTCTCCTTATCCGCATCGATGAAGACAAGATCGAACTGCGCCCTCTTCCCCTCCTTGACCTCCTGTACAAGTTGTGGTAGGACATCCATACCAGCCCCGAGTTTGACCTCGACCTTGTCTTCCAACCCGGCATTTTTTATATTCGCTCGCGCAACGTCAGCGTGGTGACTATCAATTTCTAGCGACGTTACTTGGACGCCCGGACTAGATGTCGCGAGCCAGATGGTACTGTACCCGCCCAACGTGCCTACTTCGAGGATGTTCTTTGCACGTGCGAGGCGGGCGGTGAGCTGGAGGTATTTGCCTTGGGAGGGTGAGACAGCGATGTCAGGTAAACCGGCTTTTTGAGAAGCATCGAGGGCTTGTTGAAGAGAGGATGGAGAGGGCGATGTTTCGGTAGACGGATGTAGGTGAGAGAACGAATAGGTATCTACTGCTGTCCATCGGGCGTCTTTTTCGTGGGATGAGCCTGGGGGCGCCATTGCGAATTACAGCTTGAAGTATGAAGAGTTGGAGAGGTTAGTTCTTGGTTAGCTATACGCCTTGAAAGCGCGTGTCAACGCGTCTTTATAGACACGACTACATGCGCGGAGTCATCCACATCGTATTGTATACGCGTCTTGCATACATCTGCCTGATAGTGTCATATTGCGTTATTGGAGAGCGCGTCGTGGAGGGGTGGATGAGTCTTCAGCCAGCTCGGGAATCTGGTTAGCATAAATCCGAGCAACGAGCTACGATTTCCGATATCGCCGAGGTTAAGAAAACGTCGTTCAGCACAAGCAAGAACACGGAACGAGGAGCTTGACCGAAGAGCGATTCTATCAAGGTCAACACCCAATACTCCTATCATTTCATCTATATACTCATTTATCGCTTTTTGGATGCAATCCCCTTCGATGCCTGGTGTGCGAGTCGCCGCGCTTCAGGTGGAAGAGGCGGAAGTCCTTTGTTCACATCTAACAGTGTGACTCGAGTGAAGTGCTTCAAAGGACTAGGTCTGTAGGGCCGGTGCACAGTGTGGATACCATGCGGGGTGACACCTCTAGTGAAGTGGGTGCTGATGGAACATCTTGATTTGCTAATGCAAGCAGGGCTGTTGTGGTTACCTCTTTGGGACTTGGTGGTGTTGCTCGTCATACTCTGGCTTGCGCGAGGGCTTTTGAGGGTTCTCATGGCGCTGAGCATGTGGGGCGAGGTAGAGACATCTGACTGGACAATTGGGGGAGTGGTCTGCTTTTTGTGTGTCTGAGGACAGTGGCTGCCACGGTGGGCAGAACCCTCTCTCATGCGAGAAGCCCGCATAGACGATTCTTCCATCTTGGACAATTTTGCTTGCAGCTTCCGGTCTGTCTCACCCTCTGTATTCTTATTAAGCATGCGGTCTGACGTCTTTTTGCTTATCCTTTTCCAGAGCCCTACTGGATACTCTTGGAAATCTGGAATGCTCGCAGCCCTGGTGGCTTCATGGATTCCGTGGTACTTCTTTCTGGGCTTCCACCAGGATAGTGCAGTTGGCTTTGTTCTGTTGGCTGTAACATCGACTCCTGGTTTTGAGAATTCGATGGAATCAACCGATGAATCGGAAGAGAAGCATGACTGGGCTGCACTCGGCTCGTCGCTGTAACCGTCATGATGAGACTGGTCCAAGTCCCCAGCGTTCTCCATGCTGATGGCTTGCCCTTCGACCTTGCCAGTCTTTCCTTGTCCCTCAGCATTCTGCGCCTGAGCTAGCTCATGATAACATGGCTCCCTGTCGTTCAAGTTCTGGTCTTCTTCTCCGCAGCTTGGGTCTCCAATTGTGCAACGACTGTTATCACTTCTCAATGTTGACGCCTGGCTGTCTACCTGATCAGAAGAACAATCCCACTCGACAACTCCCGGTTGACCTGTGGACGACTTCAAAGTACTATCATGAATGTTCGACTGATGGTCAACCGAGAGGCTTTGTTGCGCAATATCGTTCAGAAGGGGGTCGCTATTGTCAAGCGAATATCGTGATACGAGCTCCGCAATGTCGTCGAAGCTTAGCTTGTTGTTTCGTAGCAGATACAAGAAGCTGATGCAGTCTAGATCGCTGCGTGGTCCCAAAGTGAACGCTATTGGTGTGCGCGGAGCCTCGAGATAAACGCCTTGGAGGTGTTCTTTTCTTCCTTCTGCTAGCCTTCGTGTATGCACGCCTTTGCTGCAACTCGGCTCTGCATTCTGACGGACTTCGGAAGCACTGTCCTTTCGCTGACGATGAATTCCTTCGGCACAGGGTGAGCAGTCCGCTATGTCGTAACCGCCACTGACATCGTCGCCTCCTCGAAGAGACCATGGGTCGTTGGAATCGTGAGAAAATGGTGAAGGTGAAGACGCGGGCGAGTCCACCTTGAGGCGCCCATCGAGAAAATTCACCACCCGGATAGAATCGTCGTCGCCACCAACCACATCCCTCGTCAATGGCCACTCTTCTTCTTGCCCTTCTCCTCCACAACAGCTGACGCGGTCTAGCTGCTTCAGCGCCGCCTCAAAACCTGACCTGGCTTCCCTGAGGAATGCCCAATCGAGACGTATTCCCTCTCCCTGATAAGCAGCTACCGGCCTCATACCTCCCCCCTTCCCGTTCTCTTGCATGCTTTCGTGGTGTTCGCGCAACCTGATTGCACACGCCCAGCACCGCCCTAACCTAAACTTCAACCACCTGAGGACTTCACCCTCCTTCTCGACCTGCTCTGGTCTTAAGATCGTTTGTACTACTCCTTGCTGATTAGCCAATTTTGAAACCTTGATGAGTTCAGGAGCGTGGCCACATGTGTAGGAGCGACGATAAATGTATGTATATATTGGAAACCCGGATTTGAGGGTTGTTGAAGGCTCAGTCTGCAATGCTGCTACTAGTGGGGTCTTATCAGCCATGACTGTTCTCCGTAAGTGGCAAGGGCGGCCCGGTTGTGGCATTAAGCGGGGATTAATCAGAGTCTAGAATGGCACATACAGTTGGATGTTCTTGTTGTAGTTTGTTGGCCGCCCGGTCTCTACAATGGGGGCCGATACGACACGGTTGGTGCCACCTCAGCAACGACTGCGAACCTCGTATCGCTGCGACGTGCCATTTCTTTTGAAGGACGCCTTCTGAAAGCTCAGAAAAGATTGCGACGTAGACGATCTTTGTGAGGCGCTGACGTTGCGCTGCTGATCTTGTTCCGTCGATCTAATGTTGTGAATAAACGTAGTAACTAGGGTTAAGCAAGGGTTGAAAGGATCTCATTGAAGACGCGGACTTGGCCGCTCAATATTCCATTATTACTGTAACAGATAACGCCATATGGTCATACCCGTCTTTGTCCCGTGTCCGCCTTCGGATATTGTGCGGGTAAGGCAAGTGCCGTCTTGCCAAACAATAACGCCACGCTTGCTAAAATGATAAAGTATTGCGAAAGTTCCAGACCATACCACACTTCTCGTCCACCTATGCGCCGTAGTTCTGTTCTGTGCTCACAGGAGCATATCCAGCTGGGGCATGACCCACATATCCCTGGTTGGCTAGCGGATCGTGTCCCGACACTGGGGGACTCTCAAGCGGTGGGCTCGTCAAAGGCTCCATAACATAGCTTTGATGCGGCGATTTGTATTCGGTGCTTTGGGCTGTAAGTGGCATCAGATCTTCGGGGTGCGAGCTCCACCGTGCCGTGTTGCGCATCTCTTCCAACCCCGCGTCGTGTGGCACATGCCCGTATAGCGCACCTGTCTCCTGCACAGATCCGTGTGGACTATGTCCGTGGCCGTGGTGTCCATGCTCTTCAAATTCCAACGCGTATGGCTTTCCGCTCTTCTGAACTTGCCAGTTGCAATATATCGAGCTTAGCTTATCGATGACCAGGATAACGAATAGGATGATGACGCAGATGGGTAGTAGCCATGGTGATTCGACCATCCTGTGCAGCCGGTTGGTATCGGCCATCAGAGCTAACATTGCACCACCAACGCCAAGGGCAAGAAAGCGCGATATGACGGAAGTGAAGTCGAATAGATCAGCCTTGTGGCGGCGGATCAAGAAAAGGAATATGATCAGGCAGATCAGAAGCAGGCAGAAGGACGACCAGTAGTAGAGGTAGACAAGCTCGAATCCTTTAAGGCCAATTTTGAGGGGACTAAAGTCCTCGAGTTTGTCGACTGGAATCTTCATGCCGAGTCCAGTGTACATACCATTGGTAAGGAGGTGAGATACGTTCTTGAGCGCCTCAGGCCAGGTACCATCTTCGTCGTCTTCACCCATATTATACTGAGTAGTATTCTGCGGCGAGCAGATGCCTGTGGCGTTCCCAACAAGCCAGATAGCCGACTCAGCCTGGTTATAATAGCTTTTGGTTTCAAACTTGCCGTCCAACTCGAAATACTCCAAAAGGTACTGCAGCTTGTCTTGTAGCTTCAGGCCGTCAAGGTGGTCGTCTTGGCAATATTGAAGGATGGAGGTGGTGACTTTTCCGGTATTCCTGGCGACGTACCGAGCCAAAGCAATTTGCTGAGAGCCTTCGACAACACCAACAATCGCAAGTTGGAGAGGAAAGTGTAGCAAAGACCATATTTGTTGCCGGATGGTTCCGTAATGTCCGTGGGGAAAGTTGTCGAAGTAGCTGGGGTATCGTTAGTTGTGGAAATCCAAACTGTTTTCACCTGTGTATACTCACAGAGCCCATATCAGCACAAGAACGACGATGATGCACATGATCAAAAAGCATCCTTCAACTTCTAGTCCATGCTTCCCCATCATCCTGCTCACTGTCTTGGTAACGCCAATTGCGCCCTCGCCAATAACAATAATCGTCAGCAAGCTCATGCGCTCCATCAGATGGGTCTTTTTGAAGCTCATCATGCGCCAAATACACGATATAAGAATGACTCCAACGCCTTCAAGCACCATGACGATATACCAGACGACGTAAACGAGCCGCCTGCTGTGGTCGGCCTCGTTCTTGAATGCGGGTGTCATAGCGGCGAATGCCCCCATACTGACTGCATATATGGCGAACATGAGCATAAGTGGGAGGTAGATCTTCCCATACTTTGCTCTCCAAGTGAAGTAGAGGACAACAAGATATTGAACGGCAAGAAGACCACGGCTGATGACTAGTGTATAACACAGGATACGGAAATTCTGCATAATTCAGTATACATGATTCAACATGTGGACATCAAACTTACTGTGTTGTTCCCTTTGCCCTTCTCGTTTGCTGGGTTGAACTGACTTCCAACCAGCGCCAGGCCAACAAAAACTATGAATTGGATCGTCTTGCACACGCGCTCATAGAGCGAGTCGCGCGCAAATCGAACATCGTGGAGTGTGATTTGAAACCAACACGACCATAATATGCCAAAGAAACCGATGTATGCCAGTAAATAGTCTATGTCGGTGATAGAGTGATAGGCCGTAAAGGTTGCCAGATTAGCAACGAAGAACAAGTCGAAGAAAAGTTCCACGCTATTCGCTTCATGTCGTTGAGAGAAGACCAGATTTTCGTGATCGGCACCAACTAGCGGGGATTCGATAAACGGTGTTGTCTTGTGCAGCCGTTTGAGATGCTTTTCCGCATCGACATCTCGCTTGTGGCCGTGGAAACTCCAGCCCATATTGCCAATCTCCTGTGTAGTCAATAACGATGAAACGACTACAACGGGCGAGAAAAGGAGTTAAGAGGTTTGAACAATGATAGACAGGAGCATACCAAGACCAACGACACGAACTCGATTCGGCCCTGCCGAGATTCTTATGCAAATCCCATTTCGCATGCTACACGCGACACGAGATAGCCCCGCGAGCTATGGCGCATATTCTATCTTGGGCCTGTGAGCTCAGGCCAGCACCCACGGAATCTCCACCAGACCGCTAGTAACAGTGCCAATAGCACTGCATCGTGGCTTGTTACACGGTCTTGCTGGCTGGTCACCCAGAAGGGCTAGAAGATGCTAAGCTGGAGGAAGCTTTGAGAACCAAGCTGCTGCGGATCAGGCCCAGTAGTACGCCAACACAGCAATGCTGACAGCGCTATTGTGTATCGGGAAAGCACAGAGGATGAGATTCACGACGGCAGCATGCCTAAACCCAATCATCCCATGCACGTGAGGCTTGGCAGGCTTCCGTGTCGAATTACACGGCGTGGAGGTTGGTGTCAGCTCAGCCCTGAGATCCGTAGACGGGCCGCTAGCGGGACAAGCGTCTTGTTTGTTTGTGGCGGAGGGCCATCGCCAGCTAGCCTCATCCTAGCACGAAGACATTGTCGCAGCGTTGAATTGGAACGTCCTGGCGTGCATGGTAGACGTGCTGCAGTAACATTCACAGCTCAGCATTGCCCGTCGGCAGGCGGTCAGCTCGGCGTTCAGCATCGCCTAATGGGGCACCAACCTGGATCACAATCACTTCTCCATGACTATGGACCCTCACCCAGACGGCGTTACGCAGATATCACTCCCTTCTCGCTGCCGATCTTGCTCTCTCATCACCAAATGTGCTCGCAATTTCGAGTCATGTCATACATGATATTACCCGGTGGTCTGGAAGCGCATCCTCATGCTCCTCGCATCTCTTCTCTGACAGCGCGCCTAAGGTGATTACATGAAGGCCTGCTATTTGTGGACGGGAGGAGCCGCGAGCAAGATTACCGCAGCTGTTCCGTGAGTATCACTATGCCAAGTTCCCATCAGGGTCAGACAATCTCTCGGGTCATCATTTTCCCTTGCTGCGGGAGGGCTTCTCATTTGTCTGCTGTGGAAACCGAGACTGTCAGGAGGAGCCTTTTTCCCCTGTATTGTATCCTAGCCATAACAGACCTTGAAAGACATCTACAATGATAAGATTTAAACATCTTCCAACGAAGCAATAGTGTATACCATGAAGGTGGGTTTCGGTATTTAGGGTGAAGCTAAGGAAACAAGCTCCTTGGTAGTAAGCGATCAGAGAACGTTTCGTATCGAAGTGATGATTGGCTGACGCCTCAGCCAGATGGATATATTCTAGACCCACCACATGAACGCCGCGCTGATAGTCAAGATCTAGGAGTCTAAATCGTGCAAATATGCTGCAATATATTCCGAGTTTCGCGCACCTCCTACTTCCGTATCAGTCCTGTACGCTCGTTCACGCCCTCACCAATCTCCTCTTCTTCATCTTCCTCTTCCTCTTCGTCGTCGCTGAATCCTTCAGCTTCCAGTCCCTCGCCGCGGATTCCAAAGCTCAAAAGGAATCCAATAAGTGCGATACCAGCGAAGATACCAAAAGGCAAAGCTTCGCCTTTGGGTTTCAACTTAGTAGCAGCCGTGAAAAGCGAGCCTGATAGGAATGGACCAGCCGCACGACCAGCGGCAGAGAGCGTCTGAGCGAGGCCATTGAGCGTACCAAGCACATTGTGATTGGGTGCAGAGTTGGTGATCTGTACAAAGTCAGCATCTGTAGGTCACTACATAACCGACACGATAACTTACCATAAGGAGCGCAGCTGTCAGACCACCGACACCTGCAATCGTCTTGATTACCAACACAACGCCAAGCTCAAACCACAACCAGCCAGCACCCGAGCCGATACCCTTGTAACCCTTGCTCTCTTTATAGCCTACCCATGGCATGAGACCGAAGGCTGCTATGAACAATCCTAAGCTGATTCTGTATGCCATCTTATTGCCGAGCTTGCCTCTGAGCCTGCCAAACACACCTATCTGGAATAGTATTGTTATAGCACCAGCAAATGACAAGGATAGTCCGACGGCTTCAGGCTTCAGGCCTCGTCCAGTAGGTGGCTGCTCTTCCGCAAAGATTGGATATAGAGAGTTGTACGAGATGTTTGCAAGCTGGAATATGAAATATGTTGTGAGGAGCAGGACGGTATCCCGGTTCAGAATCTCTTTCCGCGTGAGTTCGTCGCCGCTGCTGTGTGGGAAGAGCGTAGGTGCAGACTCTCCAGAGGCATCAGAAGCATCGTCTTCATCTACATCATCCTGTGTATCGTCTTGTGAATTGTGGTTTTTGTGGTTGCCCAAGAGGCGTCGTACGTAGGTCGGTCGTGTCGAGCTTGTGAACTGCCACATCCATGAGAACAGATTACCCAATCTCTTTCCGAGAGGCGGTAAGTTCTTCGCTTCTTCCAAACTCTCCTCTAGAAATAGCATGCACACTACCAGATCTATGGCGAGGACGAGGGCCGAGAAGAGGTTCGGAAGAAGGTACGGGTATGGGTTCGACTGGCTCTTGTTGAAGGGGTTTTGGTACAGGACCAAGAGTCCTCCCACGATGGGCCCTGTTATGCCACCGATACCGTAGATTACAGGCAGGTAGGTAAAGGCGCGCGACTGGTTGCTTCGATCCGTAATCTCGCCCAAGCATGTCGACACAACGCCATTGTTTCCGTTGACAAAGCCCATCAAGGCCTGGACGAGTATAGCCTGCCAGAGTTCTCTGCAGAAACCAAAAGCCAGGAAACAACACATAGTCAAGAAAGTGCCCATGATGATGACTGGCTTCCGTCCGATCTTATCGGATAGCCAACCCCAAAAGAAATTTGTTGTGAACTGCGCCAAGGCAAACGAGGATGCGATGAGTCCGACGTATAGCCCTGTCTGTCCATCCTTGACTTCGGGGAACGACTTTGTCATCTCTGGTAGATATGGGCTTATAGAGTTGAGGGCTGTTTGCTCGGCGAGAGCTATGACAGCTAGTACGATCAGCTGCTTGGTCGGCAGGGGCGACTCGTGATGGTTGTGGCTGCCATCTTCGGAACGGTTGCCATCTTGGCCGGACGGGGAGTCAGATGGGGGTCGACCGCGGGATTTGGGGGGAATGGTAGGGAAGGTAGTATAATCTACGTATCGATATACACAGTTAGCATATCTCCAGTGCACCTCGCATACCGAAGCTACATACGGAGCGTTGACCGGCGCGCATCGAGGGCTGGCCGACTGGAAGGCATTGTCGCCGAATGTGCTACCTCTGTGAGGCCGAGTTGTCACAGCAGGCTTTCGCGTGCATCGATGCGCAGGTGATGGGATTCTTGGATGCAGGAGGCTGAAGGATGCGCTTTGCTGTGAAGATTTCAGGCTGGGATCACGCGCGGCTCAAGCTACGTACGTCATTATCGCAGGAACCCGCTTCGCTTGGCGCGGCATCTCGATGCTGTCTCACCATCGCGCACTCGACTAACAACTGCCTCATTCACGTACTCGAAAGACGTCCACTGCTCAACCCTCCCTGAGCATGTGTGGTCCCTGAACGTTGCGCTGTTTGCGACCATCCAACGACCTACCCCATGGCTGTACAGACACAGAGGTCATGGTCTTTTTCCATCTCGATGAACATCAAACTATGTTCGCATAATGCGAACAGGCTAGACAAAGCTTGGAAAACGCGAGCGCGACACGGATACATCGCATTGCCGACTATCTAGGCCCCAGTGGAGGCTGGTCAAGCCTGACGCGAAGGGCCGAAGGCAGTCAAAGCTCGACTGTCAAAAGAAAGCATCAGCGCAACAACCACTGACGGCTTCTGGTGCAGACCTATATCATCCATATCTAAAATAAGAATGCATGCTACAGTACGATAGCCGCTCCATAATCTGTTCACGCGCAAAACGACAGAACACAAGACATGACTACCCGGATCAGCAACCTGGGCTTACTGCAATATACCTTAAGCATGCTTCCCCACAATTTTATTTAATTGCCCCAAGGATTACCCCCTCGACCTCAATCTATTACGCCCCGTCCCGTCGCCAATGCTACAGGGGAACACCAAAAACTGTCTGAGGACACAGGAGTTATCGGTAGAGGCAAGCTCTCTCGGGATCATCATCAGTCGCTTAACCCCGGTGAATTTAAGCACTTAAAGTTTCCAGAAGTCGCTCAAACCTTCTCATACGCCAGACCTGCGCTGATGTCTTGTTCGTTGTCGACACCAGACATGCAGGATTTCGGACAACCGACTGATCCACCCGTGCCTCCATCGCTTCAGCTTCCGTTTGTTTTGAGTCACTTGACGGGTCTCCTGCGTCTCTGTCACTGCTATGCAAGGCTAATGAGCACATTAGGACCAATACAATCAAACGACTTAGATTACCGTGATGCCAAAATGCTGACTCTGGATTCCGTTGCGGAGATTTCAGGCATACAGTGTTCACCACTATATAAAGTCGATAAGATCCTACACAGGAAGGGCACACAGTCAGTAGGTCCGCACGGAGACGTAGATACACAGTGACCTTTGTTTGAAGGCCCCTTGCGTCAGCTTCTAATTCGACTACCACTCAACAACTAGTTATTTTGAATTTCTCCCATCCTATCTTCTCTCTTTCACACTCTGAGTGTATATCGTTTCAAGCATGCGATACTCTATCCTGCTTCCAGCTCTGGCGGCCTTCGGCTCGACTTTTGCGAGACCGAAACAACCGGAATTCACCAATACCACCACCTTACCTACCCACTTCGGACTGGTCGTATTCCCGCACTATCAAGCTCTCGACATATTTGGTCCTATGGACCTCCTCAACACACTCTTTATGTACTACCAAAACTCCACTATCGTGCCGAAATTCTCAGTTCTCAGCAAAACTATGGATCCCGTCACGTCGGCCATGATGACTGGAGGCTTTGGTCAGGAGATTATGCCTACCACAACATTCTCGGATTACCTGGCGAGCCGCGAACAAAGTGCAGACAACCACATGGCCGTTGTGAAGAGCAAGCGTCAGAGCCATGATGGTATGCATTTGCCTCCTGCGACAGACAAGGGTGACATAGATGTTCTCATCGTCCCTGGCGGTGGTGGCACCCGCAGGAATATGACTGAAGAGATCAATTTCGTCAAGCAAACTTATCCAAAGGTATCTACTATTTCCGTCCCCTTTCCATTCTCTCCAACTAACAATGCTACAGCTCAAATATATAGTCTCCGTCTGCACCGGCGCAACAATCCTATCCCGCGCGGGTATACTCGACGGCCGCAGAGCAACAACAAACAAGGCGGCCTGGGAATGGGCTGTAAAACAGGGTCCCAACGTAACTTGGGTTCCCACTGCACGTTGGGTCGAAGACGGCAACATTATCTCGACCAGCGGTGTGTCGGCAGGCATTGATGGAATGTATGCGTTTGTCAGTAAGGTTTATGGCGAAGAAGTAGCTCATTTCCTGAGCTTGGGCTTGGAGTATAACCGTGAGACGGATGCGCATCATGATCCTTTTGGTAAGATCTGGGATGTTCCGGGTGCTAATTAGATGGGCTTATCTATTGAAAGCATGGAGTCGTGGTGAAATGGGGTTTAGTGACGTGTGGATAAACCTAACGAGGTAATTCAGTCACATTGCATCTACATCTGCGTCATCCGCAAACACTGCTTACTCTCAGCTTACTCTGCAATCCCACTACGGTGATGGAGCGTAGTCTGGATAATCACGTGAGAAAATGAGGCTAGCGCTCAATGGTACAGGGGGCACCCAGCACGGGGAGACAAAGACACCTAACACGACCAATCACAGCATTGAGCATTACTTTCTCACCCACTACGAATTCCCTTCCCTTTCTACTCTGCCTCCCATGAAATCGATGCTCAGCTCTCAATGTCCTCGTCGAAGACTGCAGAGCGCTCATACCTGCCTTCCCTCGGCGTAACGAACCATAATAGCGCCTTTCTACCGTTGAATCCTGATCTGAGAGAGATACGATGCATCATCTTGCTGCCCGGATCTGGAAATGACCCTATAGCCTGCGAACTGGTATATACCAGCATAAATGAGAAGAATAGTACTCGCATACCATACGTTGCGCTATCTTACTGTTGGGGAGATATGGAAGATACCATTGAGATCATATTATATGGCCCATCGACAACTTCATCCGATGCACATGACGAACCAACCAGCGCGCCATTTCGAATCACGCGCAATCTCTATGCTGCGTTGATGGCCCTGCGAGATGACACCAAACAGTATCTATGGATTGACGCTTTGTGTATCAATCAACAAGATCCGAGGGAAAAGACGCACCAAGTTCAGTTAATGGGAAAGATCTACTCGTTGGCTGAATCAGTGTTGGTGTGGCTAGGACCGGCCGATAAATACAGTCGATTTCTTTTAAGACTATGGACGGCACACCTACATCCTCTGATAAACAGTCTCGATGGCGAAAGAGCAGACAACCTTTACGAGGATCTTTTTCAGAGCCCCCACTCGCTATGGGATGATGTAGCACAAGACAAAGAACTCATCCAATTCGCGCTCGATTTCAACGATGAAATAGAGGATGAGGCCTCGCCTGACCGGTACAAAAAGGCACTATGGATCAGCCACAACAATCTTTTGAGTAGACCATGGTACAGCCGGATATGGATTGTACAAGAGGTTTTCTTGGCTCCGAGGAGTGAGGAAGGTGGACGCAAGGTCCAATTCAGGGTCGGCGACAGTACAATTCATTGGCAAGATACAATGCATACTAAGATGATCTTGCCGGGTTACGGTCTTCTCTCCGTTGGCAAAGCATGTCGCTCGTGGTACGCACTTATCGACATGGACGAGAGGTTTTCGGCCCTGGACATCGACTTTCTACTCACATTTACGTCTCATTTTTGCGCCTCAGATCCTCGGGATAAACTCTTTGCTTTACTCCAGCTAGCCTCGGATACCAGAGAAAGCATGGACGACCCTTTGATCATGCCTGATTACACGAAGTCTCTGGCAGATGTCGTTGATGACCTGGTGCGTTGGAAACCAAGTTTGAGTAAAGCCCGTTCTTTACTTCATGTTGAAGGAAAACGAAACAACAATTCTCGTGACCGGTCGCCCCCGTCAATAGAAAACAATGAATAACACACATGTCTTCCTTGTGCTATCAAAACATTTCTGATCGTTCCTGAACCAGAGACTGGAAGATGTGGTGTAGGGTCTTAACGCCAAGAACATGGCAGTGTAGTGCCCATGAGTTCATACATCATGATAGAAAACACGTCTTTTCTTTGTGTGTCCCTTGCCATAGCGTTTAGCTGATAAGATGTTGGCTTTTGTCAAAGTCAAAGCTGTAGCTACAGTGCCTCAGATGGCAGGAAACGCGAGATGTTAGTGTGCCCATAGTCTCGCAGAGACAAACTTACACCAGTGGCAAATACAAATCGTAGACTTTACCTTGCGGTGAAGGTACCGATACGTGCGGTACCCTCATATAGGAAGAAGAAAAATATGTCAACGACAAGATCAGACCAATTAGTATCTCAATGTCAGTAAGTCGCACATCTAAGGGGTAGCATACCATCATCACTGCCGGTCGAGGACGTTCTATTTGAAAGATTCGCATTAATGACAAAGTTTCTAATGTACAGCTTCAGGAGCTTACTGACCTTTCATGTCCGCGACACACCTTGGGGAACCTTGCATTAGCTGCCGATAGCCGTTCGCGATGTCGGCGACGAATACACCCTTGAGGAATTGAGCACCCGGACTCTACTGCAGACGAACACCAGCAGTACCCTTCTTCTTGGCCTGGTCATCGAAAGCATTGCCCAATCCACCACCTCCACTCCGGCTAGCCTCAAGCGAACTTTCAGCCATCCTCTTGTTTTCAGCAGCAATTTTATCAAGTTGCTTCTTCGTCTTCGTGTTTCCACTGCCTTTGCCGTGGAACTGGTGACTGAGCTGCTTGAACGCTTCTTTCTGGTTCATATGTCGGCCGTGTTCATCGACATATTTGAGCTCGATATTGGGTGTGTACTCCTTGTTAAAGAGCTCAGCAAGACGACGGCTCTCAACCATGTCGGCGCTTGTGTTGTTCTTGCGTGCCCACTCTTCACGTTCGCGGGGGGTCATGTTGTTCCAGCGGGCGGAGCCTCGTTCGCGTTCACGAGCAATCTTACGTTGGCGTTCTGCATCGGCTTCGGCCTTGAGCTTATCGGCAAGGAACTTCTGGCGGTCACGGTACATGGCGTTCTTGTCTCCGGCGTCGGTCTGTGTGACCAGGCCTCGTTGCTTGAGCAGGGCAAGTGTGGCACCCAGGCCTTGATCGACAGTTTTCTCAGCCTCAAGACCTGTCTCAGTAATCTCAGTGGACCGAGCGCGAGAAACGCTGCGGTTGCGGGCCTCTTCTGCTTCGGCTGCTTCGGCGTATGATTGTCCCATGTCAATATCGCCGTCCTCATCAGCAACTGGAACATCGCCCATAGACTTAGTGCCCTCCGAAATGTGGCTTGACTTCCTACGCTTCCGGCGGGCCTCCTCTTCGTCGGCGTCCCCAGCAGCACCTAGATTTTGTACGAACTCGGTCGTTTCGTCGATGACAAGGGCACCATCGCCGTCTTCAGTAGACTCCATAACGTCTGGCTGAGGGGTAGATGCTTCCTCGCGCATTTGCCGTGCAAGGTCTTCCGGTCGCATCTTCTTGCGCTTCTTGAGGGCTTTCTGCCGCTGTGCTGCGAGATTTGCTTGAAGGTCATCGTCATCCACAAAAGACTCATCAAAGACCTTCTTTTTCTTCTGCTGTGGTGCTGAGACTTCACCGCCATCAAGATCCATGTCGTCGCCAGCTGCAGGTTCTTCCGTGGCCATAGCTGCTAGTTCGTCTTCGTCTTCGACGCGTTCTCTCTTGGACTTCTTGCTCTTCTTCTTCTTAGGCTTCTTCATCTTGACTTCTGAAATATCCATGTAGTCGTTGGTAGGCGCATCTTCTTTGAGTATGTCTAGACTGATAGCAACCTTCTTTGGCTTTGAGGCACCCGCAACCTCTGCTTGTACATCTTCAACAGTTCGGCCCTTGCCGTCCAGCGTGAAAGCCTTGCCCTTCTTGCCCTCGATCTCCTCGTCGTATTGTGCCAGTATCGATTTTTGACCTGATTCATCCATGTCGTTGGGATCGTATGCGCGCTTCCGCTTTTTCGAATCGAGTCGCTCTTGTAGTCGCTCCTTTTCTCTCAGCGAAACCGCCTCTAGCTCGTCATCTTCTTCTCCATCGACTGCGGTGTCTTTGAGGACAAGAATCTGGTCCTCATCGTCAAACTGATCGACCTCGTGTCCGACTTTGACACCCGCAAGGTCTTTATCGGTATACTGCATGGCCTCGAGTGCCTGGCGCTCGCGCTCTTCAAGCTCCTTACGCATCTGTTCTTCCTTGGCGATCTTCTTCTGGCGCTTCTTGCTGCTCTTCAACCATGCCAAGTCGTCGTCGACATCAGCTTCATCTGCCAGCCCCTTGCCCTCGAGCTTCGCAAAGCGCGCCGCCTTTTCGCGCTCCTTCTTGATGGCGGCGGCGCGCTCCTCGCGTCTTATCTTAGCCAGTCTCTCCTCTTCTAGCTTTTTCCAATTATCCGAAGCGGCAGCCTCACGCGTCTCGATAGTGCTCGCAGGCTCTTCGTCCGAGTCGTCGCCATTTTGCGCTGCCTTGAAATCGAGACCTGATGACGATGCGGGCGCTGCGGGGGTACTTCCACCGGGAAGAGCGGAGAGACCCATAGACAGACGAATCTTGTTCGCCTCATCGATGGATAGATCCGCCATGATTGATGCGGTTGTGGTGTCGATGTCGCAACGTGAAGACGATGTGAGTTCGAATAAGAGCTGGTGGCGCCGGTAGTCCCTGGGTTTCAGTGCGCCTTTGAGCAGCCCAAAGAAGCAGTCGTCGCGAAGAGTGAAAGCACGTCTAGCCTTTCCCAAAAGGTGAAGTTCAGTGTTCGGTGCCTACTCGTGCACGACCTGCGGGCAACATCGCACCTCCGTCCATCTTTCCGCCAAGCCACTAGGTCACTAGCGTGCCGACAATCAGCCGAGAGACATAAAAAAAGTTCGTCGCCCTCACCCATCTCTCTCACCACAACGACCTGTGTCAGCGTCTCCCGTCCACGTCCTTCGGGGGGTGTGATGGTTGAGACTCTGACAGTTCGTCCACCATGGAACTCTTTTTCTTATGTAGAGCGTTTCGGACGACAGGTGGCGGAGAACAACTTTGGCAGCTTCCGGCAGCCTGAGCTCACCCTTCACGGGGTTTGAGCTCGGTGTATGGTTGTCTGTCAGGCAGACTGATTCCGTTTCCCTTTTGCTAGGCCGTCGGCCATTGATGCTTGGGACTAACCCAGTCGGCTACATGCCTTTTCGTGCAAACGATAGTTTTTGCAACTGCGCGGCTTCACTGCGCTGGTAGATGCATGCCCTTTGATGCTTGACCACCTCGCACACGAGCCGCTGTGAAAGCGCGACGAACGCGTTCACGCGTTTACAAGTAGCTGCATCGTTCGCGAAGTCATGTGCATGCACTTAGTCTGCAAGAGAGTGTTAGACGCAAATGCGGGTCTGACTGTTATCGCGAATTGAAAACTATTGGTTCGAGCTGTAAACGAGCACAGAGACTTGATCGCTAGACGTAGTCTCGTGTTGATGTCGTATGCATGTCATTCAATGTACATATGTTACAGAATCTCAGCTTCGAAGCCGCTGCATGATAGTCCAAGTGCTAGTGAAAGTCCATATAGTCTTTCCACATGTTTCTCATACCCGGACCACGCTTAGTTTGTAGCCGGTACCTCTCCCCTCGCCAACTTGAGCAGCTCAGCCTCTCTCCGCTCCTTCAATAACCTCTCCCTAACCTGCACTCTGTCCGCCTCAGACCGCTCCTTGAACTCTTCGATTTCTTTCATCTCAGCCAGCTCTTGTTCAGTTGGCTCGAGCTGCTGCGCGCCCGTCTTCTGTACTAGTGCCTCCAAGATCTCGCTTTCTGACTGATCTCTGATGTCAATTGTATATGTGGGCTTCGAGGTATCAGGCACGAGAGTATTGCGTGGGTTCGGTGTGCCGGACGGTGGTGAGGAGTCTGACTGCTGGGCTGTGGGCGAATTTGTGGAGCCAGTCGCGGGTTGGGTTTTGCTTGTGTAAACGTGAAGGAGTGAGGGGCCGTCGGGATCGTTGTGTCGTGCTATTTCGATCGGGATAGATGGGTTACGGTATTTCATCCGGGGCAGCATATTGCGCCAGAATTTCCTGTTCGTAGTGAGCACACTCTATCATCGGGTACTATCGCCAGCCTGCCAAAATGGTCTCCACCATAAACACGACTTTTCTCTCTTCCTTCGCGGCCGGTATAGAAGAAAAATATAAGCGTACCTTGCCCCTCTATGTCCACCGTAGAGCTTTGTGTTGAACTCCATACTGATCTTCGACACCTCTTTTGGCAGTATGAGTGCGCCTGGCCCACATCGTATCCATAATAACTGTTGTCGGTACAGTCAGCGTCGTGTGTTCTTCACGAACTTGAGAGCAGATCCGGTGCGATCGCCTTCTCCAGCGAAACTTTCGGAGGTGCCTGTGGGTGGCCGGTTGCACGTACCTTCTGTAATAGTTGTTAGCTATGCGCGGAAAGCAGGCAATGCTTTCGGAAACCAACTACTTGCCTCGTGTAGTTTGCGCATGCGCTTCAGTATGTGCACCATGATTGCTATGATGTGATGTGGAATTGGGGTTGCGGAGTTCAAGAGATTCTTAGCGCATGGCCCGGTAGCGCGGTCACATCTTGGCAGCTGCTGGCCGACCATGAGGTCTTTCGACTCTTCACTCTGGAAACAGTCAAGATGGAATATGATATGACTGAACGCATTGCATTGATTGAACGCCATCAAAGGTATCTGAGCTACATTATTCTGTCTTACACACATGTAAATCTCCAATCTCACTCTCTGGAGACGTCTACATTCCACTCCAGGACAAACCCAATTACAGGATTGTATATATCGCATCGCTCTGGTGTGAGCGATACAGAATCGTGGACGACACTCCCCTTCTTCCTCCCAAATGTTCTAGTCAGCACGAGGCCGGAGTATGCTAATCTACCGAGCGGGTTG